ATCGCCCCTCGGCCTGGGCAGGCCGCGGCCCTGGGCCCCGCCAGCCCCGCCAGCCCCGCCAGCCCCGCCAGCCCCGCCGCGCCAGACAGGACGGGCCTCGGTCTCCGCCTCGTCGCGCGCGCAACCAGGATGGACGGCTATAGGCGGCCGGGGGATTAAGAGCGACCCTCACGGAAAAAAAGGATTAGTTGTGACAACTAACATGTTAGTTGAAAAGCGTCCAAAGAAGATTTTAGTTTCCACGACTAAAAGTTTGCTGCTCGAACGAATTTATAAGTTGGAACGACTAAAAAACTACAGTTGGCTCAAGGATAAAGTTGATTGTGCCTACACTATGTTAGTTGTGATGACTAACATGAGCGTCACGAGAGAAAAGAAGCTTCGTATAAGAAAAACCTTCAACGGGTATCGATCGCGGAATCTGTGATCTGAGAGCTGCTGAGGCTATCCACTGCGCTGTGGTGAGCTGATAGCGGGAGAATGACCAATGACGCTGATACAGCAAACTGACCGATGCTAGGACAAGCGACGATTAAATGATCGCCCGAAAGTCGGGTCTCCTAAGAATGTCCGCAGCGCAGTGGGCAGCGTCTCTGATAGACAAGCGACAGGTCCTAAGTTCGATTCCCGCCGCAGATTTTTTTTCTGTGCGTGGTTTATTTTCTTCCGTGACGGTCGTGTTAATCCTCACAACTAACATAGTGTAGGCACAATCAACTTTATCCTTGAGCCAACTGTAGTTTTTTAGTCGTTCCAACTTATAAATTCGTTCGAGCAGCAAACTTTTAGTCGTGGAAACTAAAATCTTCTTTGGACGCTTTTCAACTAACATGTTAGTTGTCACAACTAATCCTTTTTTTCCGTGCTCGACAAATTTTGGCGCGGAGTGCTTTTGACACGTCGCCGCCGCCGAGGGCGCCGCCTCGGCCCCCTCCTTGAACCCATCAGGCCAGACGACCCTCGAACACTTACCGACCGGGGAAGGACACGCGGATTACAATAACACCGCCCGCCGAGCCTCGCCAACGATACTGCCAACCTCGAAAAGACTGCTGCCTCCCTTTTCGTTCAGCCTGACACCGCCGAAGTTCAAGTGGGCCCTCTCGTTGGCAGCCCTGTTGCTGTGCTCGCCTCGCCTCGCCACGCCTCACTGTGCCACGGGCCCACCCCACGCCACGCCCCGCCACGCCCCGTGCACACACACGCCGCGCCTCTCCTAATTGGATCACTTTGCACACGGCCGCGACATGACTGGCTGTCGTCGCAACACGCACGCACACACACAGTCGCGCCCCGAAGTGCAGCTCCCCGTAATGGCTTCCTCCAGTCGTACAGCCTTCAGCGTCGCCTGCCCGATCCAGTCTGCGGTTCTCCAGTTCTCCGCCTGGCTGAAGCCCCGCGGGAGGGGCTTTGACAAGCCTCCGCGTTTCGCGTGGGAGGTCTCTCCCTTTCTCTCTCGCGCGCTCATGGGAGAGAGAAACCTCCAGCTCCCGGTTGTGGTGGTGGGCGTGGTGGGCCTCCCGGTGGGTCGTGGGTCGACGCCGGTCCACCGCTCCCGACCCCTGCTGCTGACAGCCTCGCGAGGGCCGGGGCTCGCACAGCCGTCGGAGTTCCCATGGCGGGTCCTGGTTTCTGGGTCCTGGGTCCCGTGAATGCATCGAACAACAAACTCAACAGGTCTGCCGGGGCCGCGCTAGGCTCGCGCTAGGCTCGCGCTGGGGTTGTGCTAGACTTGCGTAGGGTTTGCTTTAGGCTCGCGCTAGGCTCGGGGCGTCACGGCGAGGACCTTTTTTGTGGCCATGTCCGGCGTTGAGTCGATCAACGCCTGCGAGAAGCTCGGCGTGACGCTCGACGCTCGTTCGGAGAGGGGGAAGTGCGTTCGGGGGCATTAAACCTGCTGTGTGCGTGGAGCCCTCTCCCTCCCCCTCCACCGTCGATAAGCAAAGCAGCCCCCCTCCACGGCGAACTCACGCAAAAGCTTCCGGGGTTTTTCTCGCCAACGCGAGCTCTGCCCCGGGCGACACGCAGTGGCGGGGGCGGGGCGGGGGCTGGGCGGGGGGCGGGGCGGGGGCGGGGCGGGGGGCGGGGCGGGGGCGGAGGGCACGCCGTCCCCTGATCCTAATTGCCAGATTGTGGTCGTGTTGGGGCGCTTGGTGCTTTACTTGCCGTGCGCCGGCGATACTCATCTCGCCTTTGCAAGCGCGCCCCTGCCCGGCACCTCCCCCTGCCCGCCCCCGGCACGCCCCCCTGCCCGCCCCCGGCCGCTCACCCGCCCTGTATTTTCCAAGATTGCCCGACCACCTCCTCGACTACTCTGTCACCCTCGCCTTCGCCGGTCTCAGCGCCCCAATCGCGTCCAGGGATCAGCGTCAAGTACACACTCAAATGACGTCCCTCATCCGAAAAGTACCCACTCCCGGCGAGGCACTGCTGTGCGACATCAACGGCATTTTCCGTTTTCTTTTTCGCGCTCGCTGTTCAAGAGGCGCGCGGCGTGCGTGTCGCACGGGGCAGGCAGGCAGGCAGGCAGGCAGGCAGGCAGGCAGACAGGCGGGCAGGCGGGCAGGCAGGCAGGCGGCGGAGAACGGGAAGGCATGAATCACCGGGACAAAACGGCCGCCGCCTCCGCGACGGCGTTGCAGACTCCATTTCGAGCTGGAGCTCTTTCTCTCTCGCTCCCACGGCGCAAGCCGGATGGGTGCGAGGGAGACAGGAGCCCTCGCCCGGAATCTGCCCGCAGCGAGGAGCCGAGCCGAGCCGAGCGCTGGGCGGAGCAAGGACGGAGCCCCGGAGCAGCGGGCGGCGAACGCCCGGGCAGTAGGCAACCCGCCGACGGCGGCGCGCAACGGGACAGCCGGCGGCGGACCCGCAGGCGCTGACTGGAGGGGGTCGCACAGCGCGTAACGCCGTCACGGCCGTCACGCGGTGGGTCAGGACCTGCCCGCTGTTCTCATCTCCGACCATCGCACACCGCCCTGACTGTTGACTGTTCATTTCAGCGAGGCAACATTCGCAAGGAAATGTTTTGGCAACCGCAACACCGAGACACGAAGTCTCTCTCTATCCGTTTGCAAATGCAGGCCCTGCGGCTCGGCGGCGTGCCCAGCACAGCGGAAGCCGTGGGGGAAGCGGTCTGTGGGCTGGAGGTGCGGCAGGCGGTGGCGCCTTCCCCCTCCCCCTTCCCGAGGGCCTAATCCCTCTTCCGACCTCTGATCCCGGCCCTTATCGACGGCCTCCCCCGACGAGTGATGCTTGAACGTGCAAATGAACTGTGACGTGGCCGGGGCGGGCCGGTGGCGCCGCAACGGCTGGCTGCCTGGCTGCCTCGCCTGGCTGAAGGCTGGAGGGTGGGCGACTTGAATTGAAGGCATTAGGCCCCCGCCAAGTTACAGCCGCCCTTCGACGCTCTCCGCCCCTAAGGGCACCCCGAGGCGCGTGGCGATGGCCTACTCCGGGGACGCCCTCGGCACCCTCGGCACCCTCGGGAACACCCGCGGGGTCTCGTTTCACAGTCGTCGTGTCACACACGCACGGACACGAACACACCCACACACACACACACAAACGCGCGCGGGCGGACTTTTCCCGCATGCGAGTGGGGAACTCGGGAACACGCTGGTGGCCATATGGTGGCGGTCAAATAGAGACATGTACAAAGAGAGGCGCCCCTCCAGCCTCCAGCCCTTCCAGCGGCCCTTCCAGCCACCAGTCCAGGACAATCCGGGCTGCCCAGGCCTCGGCCCAGACGAAGGCCGCCATTGAGTGGCTGATCCCAGTCCTTGGTCCTCATGAAAGGGCCGACCGAGACGCCGGCGGTGACGCGGTGACGCGGCGGAATGCAAACCCCGCCACTCAGCGCTCCGCTCGGAGACATTGAGGCTTCACGGACCGGAAAGAACGGAGGGGGAGGGGGAGGGGGAGGGGGAGGGGGAGGGATGTTGATCTGTGAATCGCTGCCAGTGGCGTGGTCGTCGGCGACAAAGGGGTTGTGTGTGTTATGAGGGGGAGGGGGGGGGGAGAGGAGCGAGAGAGAGAGAGATGGAGGGGGTAGGGCGCCGCGTCCATTCCAGGCTTTGCTCCCCTTTGTCACAATAATACCGTGTACTGCCGCCATGCCGTCGGGGAAGGGCTCGGCACGGCAGGCGCCACCCGCATCAGGACACACGGTGCTGCGCTTGCTGCGCCGCTCCGCTCATTGATCCGAGTGCAGCTGTACGGTGCAGCGCAGTGCCCGTGGCAGTGCCCATGGCAGTGCCCATGGTAGTGCCTATGGCAGTGCCGGTCTCTGCCCGGTCGCGCCGATCTGCACACGCGGCGTAAACAAAGAGGCAGGAATCCGTGGCGAAGGCCGCCAAGGCCGCCAGGGCCCCGAAGCGGCCCGCCAGACGTCACTCCCGCAGCAGGCAGCAGCCTCAAACGTCATCGTCAAAAATTATTTTCAAGTTATGAAATAATTTTTTCGCGCAGTCGACTGTATTATTTGTGTAGTGCATGGGGTTGTCGGTCAAGCTCCAGCCGAGCTTGAGCACCCTGTCGTTGTTCAGGACGTTCAGGACGACGTGGCGCCGGTGGTGTCTCGGGAGGGAAAGCGGGTGCTTTCCGCCAGCGCCTAGTTCAAGTCCTGCCCGTGATTTGAGTCAAGAAACTACTAAAACTTGTGCCAGTCAGTCGGCAAGACCAGCACGTCTACTCTGTCGCTGTTGTGACTTTCGTATTTTTGAAGCTGGCAATTTTTCATCAGTACCAAATTGCTATTTCCACCATTTAAATTTAAAATGAACGTCCTCATCTAGAGGTCCAGCAGGCAGCAGGCGTGGGGTAAGCAGCACCTCCCTTCCCACCGGTCACCGGCCCATCTATCTGCATGACGCCGATGACGCCCCAGCACCTGTCTGCAGCACGGCCTGCCCGCAGCCTCCACCACGAACAGGTGGCACGGCCGCACACAGCCGCACAGCCTTGCCCGCCACGGCCCGCAGCGGCCCGCTGGTGCAGCTTACCTGTGCCTACGGCCCTGCGGCCCTGCTTTCCTGCGGCCCTGCAGCCCTGCGCCGCGGCCTGAGGACGCTGCGCTGGCCGCCGTCCTCGGCCCTCGCTGTCTTTGTCCAGGGATGCTACCTCCGGTTCACGTTTCCAGGCCCTCCGGCCTGCGGCCCTGCAGCTCCCGTGGCCGTCTCCAGGCGGGACGGCGCACGGTGCGCGGTGCGGGCGGCGCGCGGGGCGTGGCGGAACGGCGACCCCTACCCCCGAGCCGACGTCGCGCCTTGGGCCGAGCGAGGCAAGCGAGGCGATGTGTCCCGAAGTGTCGAGTTAGGCCCTACGCGAGGCTTGGCGACCACGCGGCCCGAGCCACGCTCACTGACTGACTGGGCCCCGCCGCCCCGCCGCCACCCTCCGGTGGCTCCCAGCCGCCCCCGCCCCTCGCACCGCTCCGCTCCGCGCTCCGCGGCGAGCTCCGTCTCCCTCGCACCCTCGGCGCCCCGGGGCTCGGCGGGCTGTGCGAGCAGTGCCGACGGCATGCCGACGGCCCGGACAGTCCTCTATCGATTGGGGCCGCGCGGCGCACGCCGAGCACGCCCTACGCGCCGCGCAACCCCCTCCCCCTCCCCGCCGCGAGCCCTTCCCCCTCCCCTTCCCTTCCTACACTTACGCCCCTGAGGTGTGCGGCGGGCGGCGCGGCGGGTGGCGGGGCCAACCCACTTACAATTGCTTACATCGGGGTGCGGGCGCGGACGGTGCGGGCCGTGCGGGCCGTGCGGTGTGGAGTCTGACGTGGGCTGGCGCCTCGGCTGGCGCCGCTGGCGGGTTGGGTGCACTCACAAACAGGTGGGCGGGAGGCGGACGCGTAATTATCATTTTTATCGCGAGGAAGGACGAGTGTTTCCTTCCGTCCACTTGGTTGAATTAAAAGATGGGAGTGGCGGTATGGTGGAGAGCCAAGGCGCAGCGGCCAGCGTGCTGATCCGAGGCATTTAAACGAAACTCGCGGAAAATTCAAGAAAATTAATGAAAATTCAAGAAAATTCTTCTTGATGAAACCCAAGAAAAGTTACATTTTTCCTGATCTTAGAAGTTATTATTTTCTTTTCGTTCGTTTCTGGACCTAGGTTTCGACCATTCGTTGAAAAGGTCTCATCAAGACCAATTTGGATAAGGAATAAAAAAAAATTGTTGGTCATCCCTTTTTTTGTCAACGTCTATTAATCAGGGTGGGCCAAAATTCAGGCTCCCATATTGAGTAGGTTGAAATTGACATTCACGTTGTGTATTTTGGTGAAGTACTGCTACAGGGTTAGATCATAGGTCAAACGAGGCCCGGCCCCGGTTCACGCCCAATGCTAACACAACCAAGTTCAAACTAGCCGCTCACTGGACGCATCTCACTCGTAGTTTCAGTGGTCTCCGCGGTGCGGCGCTGCGCTCGGCTCGTTTGGACCCATTTCTGCTTGCGGTGCTTGGCTGGACACATTTTTGCATTATTTTGTTGATTTTGTCGTAGAGAGGCTTTGGCATAGGCCTGACAGTCCCACCGAGTCGTGTAATGAATTAGTCTCACCATGAGTATGTCTTTGAGACGGGTACAATCATTGAACATCCTGCAAAACTTTCAATTATCCTCTCGGGATGTTAGCCGTAACCTTAAAAGAGACTTTTCACTCCTGAGTGTTTCTGGTACGGAACTCGGTCAGTCCGGTTTACTCAGTGTCACTGGACACCGTTCACCATTTCGTACTTATTACAAACATGAAGTGGAAGTATCCAAGAGAATTCAATGGAAGAGGCCAGAGAGAGTCCCATGCATTCTCCCAGAGAAGAGCGGAGATCTCTCGGGATTACCAGAAGTAGATTTGAATGAGCCTCCACCTTTATTCAAGGATTCTACTGAGTTCCAGACGTACGGCAAAATTTTATTTTACCCTCTTTTGTCATGACCAAGGGTACAAATTGTAAATAATTTTGTCTTGTGAATTTTCAGTGCTAGTGAAACCGTCAAACGTATTTTTGGCCTGAAGTTTCAGACTTCCGCTGAAAGAAGGCAAGCAAAAATTGATGCCATGACCAAACAGGTGAAACGACACAAACTGGACAATAAATCAGTGGAAGTTAAAAGTAAGGCCTCGTGTAAGTGTTTGCTATTTTGTTTTTGGTGAGTGAGTTCTTCACGTTTTGTTTTAATTAATAGTTGCCAAGTGGACTGCCATCATTCGAAACTTGCAAGAGCACACCACAAAATTCCCACAAGACCGTAATGCTAAAGCAGACCTGAAAGAAATTATTGAGTTTCGAAAGAAGCGAATGAAGCTTTTGCGCACTCTGGACTACAGAAGATTTGAATGGATCCTTGAAACCCTAGACCTTCTCTTTAAACCTGCTCCATCGTAAGTTTGTTCTTTATTGTGATAAATTATTCTATCATATTTTGTATTACATAAACCAATTTTCTTTATTTTTCAGGTCCCATGAAAGAGTTGAGAGGAAAAAATCGATGAGATGGTTGACTGCTGAATACATAGAAAAAGTGAAAGAACAGAAACTAAATGAATATAAGGAGGCTTTGAATTCACAGAAAATAGGTTTTTTGAAGTCAAAACTTTCAACTATGGAAGCCATTGTTGAAGAAGAAAAGGCATTTGGAGTGATTCCTAGTTTTACTGAAGAAGACCTGAATCAAGTCAAAGAAACCTTAAGATTGAAAATTGAGGAAGAAGAAAAAATGCACCCCTCTCACCAAGTAGAAAAGGAAGTTTACTAAGTGGTTGGTGTCAGTCTGATGTATTTCATTAATTGTTATCACCCATTGTAAGGTGTATTTAAGGCCCACATGTGGTGATGTTCGTCTGAACTTGATAAAAGATGTGTGTTGAGATTATTGGGATTTAATGAGCTGGAGACCAGTTAATAAATTATGTCTTTAATTTGAATTATTGGCATCAGAATATTTCTCTCTAACTCATTAAATAAAGCATCACATACATATGTACAAATTACTACAAAACCCTTGTTGGAAATGAAAAAGTTTCCTCAGAATCAAACATGTTTTCTCCTAAAATTGCTTGTAAAGAAACTCTGACAGTAGGTTAAGAGCTTTAGAAAAACACAGCCTCTTTCGCACATAAATTTAAAATAATTAGTTATATGCATGTGAAAGACATATGCAAATCCAACTGTGGGACAGTAACAATGGCAACCTAACTAATATCCAATTTTAATAATCTTCTGTTCATGCATTGAAAATTTGAAACAAATTGTAAACAAAATAAAAATAATGATCAACGTCCTGAAAAATACAAAGAGGCACAAAGAAGCAACCAACAGAAATTACATGGGGCTCATGATTAGTCAAAATAATACAACATTCAAGTATGGCACTGAAAATGAGACATGGCCGGTAGACAAGGATACCAAATTGGTTACAAAGGAAATTGTGATCGCGCCATGATGAACAAAAACATAAAATCACAACAGACTTTGGAGGGTAGAATTATAAGAGGAATGAACAAAAATGGCAGATTCATTAAATGATATAAATTGTAGTAATAGTTTGATTGTGTTACATACGCTGATAAAAATTAAAAGAGACAATAGATAGTAAAGTAAACAGAAGCTACACTAATACAATACAAATACAAGGCCTCTCCTCTAAAATGCATTCTTGTCTTTTGAGGAAAGGATAGTGCTTTACATCAGTGACCTCTTAGAATAAAAAGAGTTATCACTTCATTTATGCAGGGATGACACAATTAAATGTAAAGAAGTAATTGGCAAAGTACAGTGGCAGGAGGAAAACACCATATTACTAGAAAAAAAATTAAATAGACAATAAAACATTTTCAAAACTAGATAAACATTATAATACCTAAACAATTGTTCAAAAACAAACAACAAAAGGCAGTTTTGATTTGGGGTTTGTAATTATAAGCTCGTCATTGCAGGTGGTCTTGCATAAGCTTTTGGAATGAAACCATATTTTCGAGTTTTGGGAGCATAAGCCCACAACCATCCATCAACTGTCTGATTGGCTAAGTCGGCATAGATCCAATCCCCTCTTCTCACTGACAAATCATCAGGAGCTTGAGCCTGGAACAAAACAAGGAGGATAAGAGAAAGCAATTTGCACACAATAATAAGGTACAGTATTAGCAGACAGTAGAATATCTTACCTTATAGTCATAAAGCATTACAAGTTCAGTTCCATATCGAAGATCATCAGTGCTTTGGGAGGTCACATGATGTGATGTGTGGTAAGTAGCTGTCTGTGGCGAATTATTTTGACTTAAGTGACCTGGAGGGGAAAAAAGACAGTTCAATAAAGTTACTGAATTAAAGAGAAACATGCAAAGTCAATTTTTTCATTACCCTGAATAACATCTGCAGGATACACAAATCCACTGGGAACAAACCCTTCTTGACCGTCACTTCGTACAATCCAATACCAATCTGGGTCTTCTCTGTTGAGAACTGTGACAAACTCCCCTCTTTCAACACTCACATCATTTTCATCTCTAGCAATAAAAGTATAGAGCACAATGTAGCGTCCAGATGGATCCTGAAAACAAAAATAAATGCTTCATACCAACACTCCACAAAATTAACTTTGGACATATGTCAGCATAGAAATTTCTTTAGCCCACCTTTAGGAATGGATGCACCTCTGGCTGAGATGAGGATGCACTATGAAGAGAAGCTTGAGAACTGGCCATGTTCAGCTGGAGTGCAGAAGTAGCGACAGTTGTTTTCTTATTCCCATAACTCTCACAATCTGACATATCTGGGGAAGTAAAATATCTCAAGAGTAAGAAGGTGAGCTGTAGTGGATACAATGTTTCAAATCATTTTTAAAAAATACAATACCCGCTCTGTGATCTGGAGAGTCGTCGTTGTTATTGATATTATTTGCTCCTCCATTTGAAGCAGATGACAAATTTGCTGAAGGCCCCATCCCACATTCTTCTCTAGGGAGTTTCTTTTTGACATTGTTCAACGCAAGCTCTCCAAGCTGAGAATTATACAGAGTACAATACGAGTGTGGAATGAAGCCTTCTTGTCGAGTATCTGCTGCTATCACATAGACCCAATCATTCTCACGGTACAGAACATTTACCACCTGAAAAACAAATTTTAAGAATCTCAATTAAAAATTGCTTACAGAAGCCCACAGGTATGAGATTACACTGGACCAGCAGGGAAGATTAAGAGAAAATTTACCGACCTGACCGCGTTTAACTTCTAATTCATCATCCACACAAGGGGTGAAATCATGTAAAACAACCATTTTACTGTCAGGAGATAATCCATTTTCTTTCTCAATCCCAACTCTTACTAAGGTTTCAATGGATGCACTGCCAGTAATACGTCCCATTCCAAGGGGAGTGCCCCCTCCACGAGACAATTCTTTGTCGACATCAGAAGAACCTGAAAATCAGTAGAAAATTGTTAGTAAGGATATTAGAGCTCAACATTAATTGACCATATCAAACTAATAGAGAATAATGAGTATTTCAATAAAAATGTTCCGTGTAATTATTGATTTCTGCAAAATAATCATTTACTGAAGAACATGCCCCATACCCCCTTAAGATTCATAACATTTTAATAGGTTAAGAGGTAAAAAGTCCGTAACAAATTACAGGCGCCATAAATTTAAAGACCTAATGAGCCTTCAAAAAGAAACCTGGCACCGAGTACTAGCGCGATTTGCGAACGTCCGGCCCAGACCGCGACGGATGACGATCCTGCATGCAACAGGTGCAAGGGGTGCCTGGACCGATTATCTTTGTCTTAGGCGAAAAGAGTCCACATACACATACACGCTCACCCGTCCGCAACGGGAAAACCACATTTGCGCCACTTCAACTTACTTTTCTTCTTTTTGCTACGTCCTATGCGGACAGGACACAGAAACGCCATGTTTCCTAAGCATTATTTACATTTACGGGGCGACAAAGATGACCGTGTATGGCCATTACACCGACTTCCGAGCCCAAATTCCTCGGGGCGAACGCAGCCAACGCGAGCAACAGCAGCAGGCCCGAGCTCGAGCTCCAGGTCTCTGACGGGGACGGGGACGGGGACGGGGACGGCTTCCTTGAGCTTGCTTGACGGAGCGGCGCTGGAGCGGCCGGGGCAGCGAGCTCGTGTCGCCGTCGCCCTCGTCGCCCGCCCCGGAACCCGGAGGAGAGCCCGGAGTCGAGGGCAAGGGGCGCGGTGGGGCCAAGAGGTGGGGACGGGGCACCGAGACAGGTAGGAGGAGGAGGGGCTTTAAAGACCGGTCTTCAGGTGTGCGGGGAGGGGGAGGGGGCTCGGGGGCCGTGCATGTGTGCGCTTGGCCGGTTCGGTTCCCACAGCACTTCCAGTAGACTGATTCCGAGAATCGACTTCGTCTCTCTCGCACCTGTGGGCGACGCCCCAGGAGTGTGAGAGAGTCAAAACGACGAAAGCGACCCTCGGAATCAGTCCGCAGGACTAAGCTAGGGGGAGGGGAGGGGTGGGGTCGGGAGCCGCAGTGAGGGGTGGGGTGGGGCTGCGTGGAAGGCTGAGTAGTAGGCGCGTCCATGGTCGCTACTTGCTACCCGGAGCACCTGGCTGGAGCCTCAGCCTCTGCCCCTCTGGCCGCCGGAGGTACCGTTCATCTCGGTTCACCCAACGCATCAAGCTGCATGCAGCGTGCGGCGTGCGCGTGCGCGTGCCCTGAGTGGACGACGTCTACTTCCTCTGTCGCACCCCAGGGACCCTCGACTCAGTAACAGTAACACATGGCAACCTTCATCTCGGTGCGCCGGTTTTACCGAAGGTGCAACCTGGAGGTGCATTGTGGATATTTGCACAAGTACGGTGCAAATAGGTACTGCTGTGGTATTTGCACAATTTGTGCAATCCCCTTAACAAGCGCTATTTGCACAATTTGTATTTAACAAAATCGTGCAAATATCCTTTGCTCAAAGTTTTGCACAATTTGTGCAGTCGACGAAACCAATGCTATTTGCACAATCGTCCCGGCGGCAAGTCATTGGTCATTGACACGGTCTCTCTCAACCGAAACAGTAGCGAAGTTGGAAGAGGGACTGACAGTAGTGCGACCGTAGGTTCAACTCCACGCTCCTCTGATTTTCTTTCCCTTATTTTTCACGCCAATTGTGATAATCCCAACAATCTACGCTACTTGCACAAACTGTGCAATCCGTCGGCTTACCATTATTAGCACAAGCCAAGTCGAATTCCTGCGTGCGTTTTCTATGATGGAGAAAGGTTGGCCACCCTGCTTCCGGCCGTTTGTGTTTTGTCGGTTCGTTCTTTCAAAAGATTTCAAGCGAATAACAGTCGCAGTTAATCGGGATTCACACGTCAACACTTGCATCAAGAACCAAAAGCTCATTGGTTTTCATAGCTGATCGGAAATGATGGAGGTGAGTTATCAGAAAACGAAATCACAGTGATATTCTTGTTGAAGTTAATCACTTAACTGGCAAGCAAAAATGAAGTTCAAACAGTGACTATGCCATGAAGTGGTTTGGACTTTACTTTTGCTTACCTGACCTTATTGGAGCTGTTGAATATCCCAACCTGTGTTGTTCTAGGACAATGACAATGATGATGGGCTCGTTGCTGGGGAGGGATTTTTCCTCGGCCAAGAATTTGCATCGTACAATGAGTTTGAGGACAGGCGTTTGGCCTTTCAAGAAAATACCTACTGCCTATTTGTCATGAGAAGGAGTGAAAGGTCACAGAACAACATTTTGAAATTTAATAAAATGCAGTTTGAATGCAAACAAGCAATGTCTACTCGACCTGCCAGAGGGAAAAAGCCACACCATGAGTAAGTGTTTTGCTTGCCACAATAAGTATTTCCAACTGAAGGTTGTCGTGTTCTAACCCAGTTTCTTTTTTTTAAATGCAGGTCCTATAAAATTGGGTGTGAGGCGAGGATACATGTTGCAGCAACGACCGCAGGGAGACTGAAGGTCACGGCATTTCATGATGTCCACAATCATCCTTGTAATGAAACTACGTATTTTGGATATCCTGAAGTGCAAAGGATGTTCTAGGTAATGAAATTGTTTTTCATAATTCATATTTTTTCAAATTTTGCTCTGAAAAAATGAAACAAAGAAAAGAAAATATTAGGCAAATTTATATTTTAGTCACAAGACCAATCTCAGCTGGCATTAATTACCTCAGATTTGCCAAGTCCCGCTGAGTAACTTCACCACATCCCATGTCCCTCAATACTGATCTCACGACAGAGGGTTTGACCCCACCTTTGAAGAGAAGCTTTGCTGTTGATGTGGCCTTATCATCGTTTAAGTTAGAACGCCTAGTTTTAGGCAAAGCTTTAAAGTAAGCTTGGTCACATGTGTGGTTATGCTGAGTTATAATTTTTTTCACAACTAAGGCCGTCTTGTTGGCAATAAGGTGCACCATTACTGGACAATCGACTTTCCAGGTTCTGCAAACGTAAGATCAAGATTGTCAACTGTATACATAAAAGAACAAAGAAAGTTGTAAGAGCAACTCACGCCTGAAAGTTTCGCTGTCCTGTTCCCTGGTTAATTCTCTTTTTTCCCCCTGACACACATGTTAGCACAATGTTTTTGTGCACAAGTGCTTCATTGTAGAGGACTGTTTCACCCCGCCCAGTCAGCTTCTTATTTTCATTTTTAATGGATGTTGAAGTGTCAGTAGTCCATTGGAAACAATTCTTCTTTGCATAGGAGTTAAGGCACCTCTCCGCATCTGTCCATGAATCAAATGACTGCCCTACAATAGGCAGTGGTGCACTAGTATTTTCTTCAACATCTGGCTCCTGAACGTTTTCTTCGACATCTATCTCCTGATCTTCCATTTCTCCTGCTCGACATAATGATAATATGGTTAGGAAGCCAAGTCAACCTTAACCTAACAATTTCTCTGCTATTTTATAAAACGAACGTCGTTGGCGCCACGCAAACAATGATTCAGCACTTGTATAATTATTGATTCGATCCATTCACTTACCAGCTTTTCAAAACGGTAGCAAGAATCTTGTGATAAACTTCAAGGGGGTAACGAAGAGATGAGCCGAAAAGATTCAAACAACTGGCAACAGTCCCACAGACTCGTAAGATGCGATCGGGTAAAAATCGGGCAACTAGTGTGATTCGCTCTGTGCAAATAGCTGTCATTTTGAAGATTCCACAATTTGTGCAATTTGTGCAGGTACCGGTGTTTGCACAAGCAGACACAAGCAGACGACTTTGTTGTTGTTGGGGGGGCTGCCAACCTTTCCGCCATCGATAGGAATGTCGACACGGCAAGTGCAAATAATCCCCTTTATGGGTTGAATAATTTGTAAGAGTACCAAGTTCTGTCATGGAGTCTGTGTCTGTGACTCCATGGTTCTGTTGAAACTGTACAGTTGGCGGGAGAAAATATGTTGCTGTGCAAATAGGTTTTATTCAAGGTAGTGCACAAGTTGTGCAGACAGGTGTGCAAGAATTATTTGCACGGGTTGTGCAAATACCCAAGGCTTCCTTCAGTGCACAAATTGTGCAATTATAAATCCATGCCTCGTGTGTTTCACTTTGCAGCCCCACGTGCCGACGAGCTGACGAAAATTACTTGTTGCGCGTGCTTCCACACGTTTGTCGATCTCAATGGACTGCATCGCCACCAAGAAAATTTCTCATGCTGTAAGTATCTTTTCTTTTTACTAGCTTCGTTAATCATGAAAGTAGAACAAAAATATTGCTCTTTAAACATTTCTTGTAATATATATTTTAATTAGTAATATTTTCGACAAATTTGATCGGTCGTACATTAAAGATCATATCTTCGTTTTCCGTTAATAAATCTATAATTTTAGACAACTGATTTACAAAAAATAAAAAATATCAAAAAAGGCAACAGTTTTAAATAACTGCTCTCAAATCACGACGTTTGCCCCAACCCAAGCTCTTTGACTGTTTCAGGTAAAAATGCTCTCCCATTCACAACACGTCGCCCTTGGGCTGTGCCCAATAAGTTTCTTAAGTTGGCTGTACAGGAGAATCTCCGTCCCTTAGAGTATTTAAAACGTAAGTGCCAAATTCTGATGAAAGCTTGAGATTCAAGTGGCTTTTTGTCATGAGAGTGCGTAACAATTTTTTTATTTGTCGCAGGGGAAAATATAATGTGGCCAGTGGGACCAAACGTAAGTGAAGAATGTTGTAAGCAGCTCCGTCCATCCTTGCGAAACGCCTTTAACACTGTTTTGTTCTGTGTTTTCAGGATTTTTTAAATTATGACGAATTAGAGCCCATGGAAAATGGCCATGATAATGAAGAATTGAAGTCTGTAAGTAATAGTGGTCTCTATATGCTTATAAAGAAGTGCAGACTGCAATAACAGGGTCTAGAGTACTGTGGTATTTGTGTCCATGTTGCAGGAAGGCAGCAAAGTGCAATCTCATTTCGATGATATTCCTATTCATACGAGAAAAGAATACAACTATGAAGAGATGGTTGAAAGGGCAATTGCTGCTGATGAAGCTTTTCTACCACATTTAAATAATCCGGATATGGTATTAACATCTAATGTTTTCAGGTATTTTTGGAACATGTTTTTTGGGTAGTCTCATTGAACACGTTGTTCATTTTACTCTTTGCATACATTCCTTATCATGTTGGCCATGGAGCAGTTGTGTTACTTGGGCTGCATGAGTATGCAATGGCTGCCCATTTTGAAGGCCTTGTCACCACTCTTTGTGGATACTGTGCTATTGGAATGATATTTGTTATCCTTCAAGGCTTAGCTTCTTTGTTCGGGCTTATAAGAACTAAGCGTTTTTTGAGATTGTGCTATATTGTTGTGAAGGTATGTAATCAAAGCCTTTCGTTTCCATGTTGCTAATTATGATGATAATTGTGATTTTTATTGTAAATGTTTCTTCTTTTTTATTTGGCAGGTTTCACTTTTGACCGTTGTCGAATTAGGTATCTTGCCTCTGATATGTGGTTGGTGGCTTGATATTTGCTCTCTGTCAATGTTTGATGCCACCCTCAAAGATCGAGAGGCCAGCTTCCGCCTTGCACCAGGAACAGATTTATTTATTCACTGGCTTGTGGGCATGGTACATGTGTACTACATATACCATGCCCACAAGCCAGTGAATAAATAAATCTGTTCCTGGTGCAAGGCGGAAGCTGGCCTCTCGATCTTTGAGGGTGGCATCAAACATTGACAGAGAGCAAATATCAAGCCACCAACCACATATCAGAGGCAAGATACCTAATTCGACAACGGTCAAAAGTGAAACCTGCCAAATAAAAAAGAAGAAACATTAACTGTTGTAAATATAAGATTAACCCTCTACATTTAAATTTCCCACTGAATCTGCCTATCTGTATAAATGTATATTTGTATTTGCCGCTGTACCATCTTCTCATACTGCACATAATAAGTCATGCACTAATTATCATAGTCACTGCCTGTGTGTAATTGCTTGCACTTGTCACTGTTGCATTTCCAGCTCCAGCAGCAGCCATGTTAAATAAATGCTCACTTCCTGTCCAGACTCCAGAGTGTTCGTGTCGTGTTCTTTTGCTCCCGCTCCCTTATCGTGTATCATCAGCTAAATTCAGACAATAGAACTAAACTCCAAATCAAATTACAACATTTACAATAAAAATCACAATTATCATCATAATTAGCAACATGGAAACGAAAGGCTTTGATTACATACCTTCACAACAATATAGCACAATCTCAAAAAACGCTTAGTTCTTATAAGCCCGAACAAAGAAGCTAAGCCTTGAAGGATAACAAATATCATTCCAATAGCACAGTATCCACAAAGAGTGGTGACAAGGCCTTCAAAATGGGCAGCCATTGCATACTCATGCAGCCCAAGTAACACAACTGCTCCATGGCCAACATGATAAGGAATGTATGCAAAGAGTAAAATGAACAACGTGTTCAATGAGACTACCCAAAAAACATGTTCCAAAAATACCTGAAAACATTAGATGTTAATACCATATCCGGATTATTTAAATGTGGTAGAAAAGCTTCATCAGCAGCAATTGCCCTTTCAACCATCTCTTCATAGTTGTATTCTTTTCTCGTATGAATAGGAATATCATCGAAATGAGATTGCACTTTGCTGCCTTCCTGCAACATGGACACAAATACCACAGTACTCTAGACCCTGTTATTGCAGTCTGCACTTCTTTATAAGCATATAGAGACCACTATTACTTACAGACTTCAATTCTTCATTATCATGGCCATTTTCCATGGGCTCTAATTCGTCATAATTTAAAAAATCCTGAAAACACAGAACAAAACAGTGTTAAAGGCGTTTCGCAAGGATGGACGGAGCTGCTTACAACATTCTTCACTTACGTTTGGTCCCACTGGCCACATTATATTTTCCCCTGCGACAAATAAAAAAAATTGTTACGCACTCTCATGACAAAAAGCCACTTGAATCTCAAGCTTTCATCAGAATTTGGCACTTACGTTTTAAATACTCTAAGGGACGGAGATTCTCCTGTACAGCCAACTTAAGAAACTTATTGGGCACAGCCCAAGGGCGACGTGTTGTGAATGGGAGAGCATTTTTACCTGAAACAGTCAAAGAGCTTGGGTTGGGGCAAACGTCGTGATTTGAGAGCAGTTATTTAAAACTGTTGCCTTTTTTGATATTTTTTATTTTTTGTAAATCAGTTGTCTAAAATTATAGATTTATTAACGGAAAACGAAGATATGATCTTTAATGTACGACCGATCAAATTTGTCGAAAATATTACTAATTAAAATATATATTACAAGAAATGTTTAAAGAGCAATATTTTTGTTCTACTTTCATGATTAACGAAGCTAGTAAAAAGAAAAGATACTTACAGCATGAGAAATTTTCTTGGTGGCGATGCAGTCCATTGAGATCGACAAACGTGTGGAAGCACGCGCAACAAGTAATTTTCGTCAGCTCGTCGGCACGTGGGGCTGCAAAGTGAAACACACGAGGCATGGATTTATAATTGCACAATTTGTGCACTGAAGGAAGCCTTGGGTATTTGCACAACCCGTGCAAATAATTCTTGCACACCTGTCTGCACAACTTGTGCACTACCTTGAATAAAACCTATTTGCACAGCAACATATTTTCTCCCGCCAACTGTACAGTTTCAACAGAACCATGGAGTCACAGACACAGACTCCATGACAGAACTTGGTACTCTTACAAATTATTCAACCCATAAAGGGGATTATTTGCACTTGCCGTGTCGACATTCCTATCGATGGCGGAAAGGTTGGCAGCCCCCCCAACAACAACAAAGTCGTCTGCTTGTGTCTGCTTGTGCAAACACCGGTACCTGCACAAATTGCACAAATTGTGGAATCTTCAAAATGACAGCTATTTGCACAGAGCGAATCACACTAGTTGCCCGATTTTTACCCGATCGCATCTTACGAGTCTGTGGGACTGTTGCCAGTTGTTTGAATCTTTTCGGCTCATCTCTTCGTTACCCCCTTGAAGTTTATCACAAGATTCTTGCTACCGTTTTGAAAAGCTGGTAAGTGAATGGATCGAATCAATAATTATACAAGTGCTGAATCATTGTTTGCGTGGCGCCAACGACGTTCGTTTTATAAAATAGCAGAGAAATTGTTAGGTTAAGGTTGACTTGGCTTCCTAACCATATTATCATTATGTCGAGCAGGAGAAATGGAAGATCAGGAGATAGATGTCGAAGAAAACGTTCAGGAGCCAGATGTTGAAGAAAATACTAGTGCACCACTGCCTATTGTAGGGCAGTCATTTGATTCATGGACAGATGCGGAGAGGTGCCTTAACTCCTATGCAAAGAAGAATTGTTTCCAATGGACTACTGACACTTCAACATCCATTAAAAATGAAAATAAGAAGCTGACTGGGCGGGGTGAAACAGTCCTCTACAATGAAGCACTTGTGCACAAAAACATTGTGCTAACATGTGTGTCAGGGGGAAAAAAGAGAATTAACCAGGGAACAGGACAGCGAAACTTTCAGGCGTGAGTTGCTCTTACAACTTTCTTTGTTCTTTTATGTATACAGTTGACAATCTTGATCTTACGTTTGCAGAACCTGGAAAGTCGATTGTCCAGTAATGGTGCACCTTATTGCCAACAAGACGGCCTTAGTTGTGAAAAAAATTATAACTCAGCATAACCACACATGTGACCAAGCTTACTTTAAAGCTTTGCCTAAAACTAGGCGTTCTAACTTAAACGATGATAAGGCCACATCAACAGCAAAGCTTCTCTTCAAAGGTGGGGTCAAACCCTCTGTCGTGAGATCAGTATTGAGGGACATGGGATGTGGTGAAGTTACTCAGCGGGACTTGGCAAATCTGAGGTAATTAATGCCAGCTGAGATTGGTCTTGTGACTAAAATATAAATTTGCCTAATATTTTCTTTTCTTTGTTTCATTTTTTCAGAGCAAAATTTAAAAGAGAGGGTCGTAAGGGGAAGACTCCCGAAGAACTGCTGTGTGATACTCTTCAAGAGCTTCTTGATACCGATCCCGAGGCTCATATTCGTGTAGGAAGAAATGAAGACAATGAATTGGAGTTTCTATTCATCCAGACCTCTGGCATGCGCAAGACAATGCAAGAGTTTGGCACTGTGCTTCTGATGGATCACACTTACAAAATAAACTCCAGGCGTATGCCTGTGAGTGTGTTCATGACGATGGATGGGCATGGTGATGGCAGGCCTGTTGGCTATGCATTTATTGCGAATGAACGATCTGAGACCATCGCCAATGTGCTCCAGTCATTCAAAACGTCAATTGGTGCTGAATGTGCTTCAAAAATCAAAACTGTCATTATTGACAAAGATTATTCTGAGGCAAAAGCCATAAAGAATGTGCTACCAGATGCCAACATCCAGCTCTGCGATTTTCATGTGTCCCGCACATTCAAGACTAGGGCCAAGAAGGAAGATCCTAAAGTCCTCGTGCTAATCAACTCTCTACGATATTGCAGCAGTGAAGAGTTCCCTGGTATAGTTGCAGAACTAGAAAATATTGCCTCTGAAGAATTTTTTGATAAATTCAAGAAAGACTGGTTAAATTGTAAGCTAGCTTGGTGCTTCAGGGACAAACAGAAATCTTTAAATTTGGGAAACAACACTAACAATCGTTTGGAAAACCACAATTCCAAAATAAAGATGGTGAGTCATTATTCACTTAGCCATGTTGATTTTTTAATATTATATTTTACAAATTACTAAATGCTTTTTCATTTTAGATGTTGAACCAAGATAATGAACTCCATGAAGCTATTCAAAATCTCATCAAAATGGTCAAAAATAAAGAAGATGATGTTTTCTTTAGAAATACTGTTGAAAGTGCCAAGCAGCATTATTGTACCAAGAACAGTGACCCTGTTGTAAACACTATTTTGAATGACATGACTAAATTTTCTGCAAAATTAATGATCTGGGAGCTTCAACAGACTGTGACTGAAGCAGAGATGGCAAAGTTGAAACCTTCCACCAAAGATTGCCAGTGTACACATTGGTGCAGTTTCAATTTGCCCTGTAGGCATATTTTTCATCAAAGAAGATTGGCTGGTGAGTCTCCTTCAAACGAAAAGTTGTCTCATAAATTCAATTAAAAATTCTGGAATGATTCAACTAATAACTGTCTGTTTCCTCTCTAGATTGTCAACTTTACTGCAAGGATGAGATTAACCCAATGTGGCTGCAGGGATATGAGTCAAGATCTGAAGATACCACACCACATTCCCAGAATATAAGTACTGTGGTTGTGCCTTCAAAAATGATGCCTCATAATGCAAAAGACCGCTACACACATTCAATGACTCTCCTCCGCAAAATAGGAAATTTAATGTCGGAGTCTGGTGAGCGTCAGTATGCTGAACGCTATTCTTTCCTAGAGAATGTCTTTGAACTTTGGGCTTCAGGCAAAGAAACAGTCGCTCTAGAAATTATGCAGGCTCATGGTAAGAAATTATAACAGCATATAACGACTAAACCTCCTTCATGGACCTTCCTTGTCATTACATATTTATAATTTGACAGATACCAACCTGTTACTTCAGACAACAGAAAATCATGCATGCCAAGAAAATGCTGAAAATGCTGAAAATAATTTGAGTGGAGAAACTGTAGGTCCTGAAAATGCTTTTGGATTTGAAGCAACTGAATTAAATTCCAACGAAGAGAGGGTAGCCCCTATTAATGACTTGTTTCAGCAAATTGCTGAACATAGCAATACAAGCTCAATCAACATAGTCCATACCTCTGCTCAAATTCATGGCAAGCCTGGTAAGATATAACTTGGCATATGTGAAATTGTCTGCACATTATGCTGTTCATACGTACATATTATGCTTGATTTTTTTATCCATTTTATACAGATAACAATCTCCCGCAAAAAAATGTGACTGCAATTAAGGCACACAAAGCAACTGAATTATATTCCAACGAAGAGAGGGTAGCCCCTATTAATGACTTGTTTCAGCGAATTGCTGAGCGTAGAAATGCAAGCTCAATCAACATGGTCCATACCTCTGCTCAAATTCATGGCAAGCCTGGTAAGATATAACTGGATATATGTGAAATTGTCGGCACATTTTGCTGTTCATACGTACATATTATGCTTGATTTTTTTATCCATTTTATACAGATAACAATCTCCCGCAAAAAAATGTGACTGCAACTAAGGTACACAGAGCTGTAGCACAGGATTTGGATAGTATTACACCAGCAGATGGTAGTGATTGTGGAAATGATTCAAGAAGGGAAAGTGCAAGGACACGGATAGAAAACTTTAAGTCTGTCTTTATGGAGCCTGTAAACCAATCTTCTTCCCAGCAGAACCCTTCAAAGAATGCTTTAATGTCATGTAAGATCAATATTTTATTTTCATTTTCTTGTCTTTACTACCATTGTGATAAACTTGACTTTTGCCCCTTGGGTTTTATTACAGATGATGGAGAATGTATAAACCATTCTAGTTCCCAGACTTTTGTCCCCATCCCCCAGGTCAAAATGTGTTGGTGTAAACTGTCTTGTAAAAGGTAATGTGCTTTAGAGCAATTACAATTTTGCGGTCAAAGGAACTGTTAAAGTTTTCATCTATCCATATTTCTGACTTTTTTTTCTAGGGCTGTTGCTGGGCCTTCACACAAAATGGCTGGAAGGTCATTCTGGGTATGCCCCTTAGGAAAGTGTGGTTTTAGGACACTTGCTCCTAAAGTTACTGAGGACAGTAGTGTTAAAGTTGCTGAGGACAACAATGCTAATAATGATAAAAGTACACCAAACACTTTAGAAATTCCCATTGATTATGAGGTTGATAGTGGAACAGAGAGCCTAGCCATGCTTGTGTCGCTTATTAATTCACAGTCTTGGAATGATTGTGAATTTGATGAATGTGACCAAAACGCAGCTGTAGCGGAACTAGAACAGAGCGAAAATAATACTGAAAATAGTACAGCTCATGAAACCAACCATGAGGAAATGTCAGACAATTCACAAATTCTTGATTACAATGCAGTCTCTGAGATCAACACTAAAAATTTGTCACAAGGTAAGTCTATTTCCAGAAAATTTCAGTTTGTTGAGAGTTGTAGTCTCATTGCATAGTTTATTTCAATTTGTTTTCTTATTTTAGCACAAATGGACATCTCTCAGGCCATTGCTGGCGTTAAACTTCCGCTGGCTATAAAACACAGAGGCAGGCCTGAAGGTCTTGGAAAAACTGTGTGGGACTGGCCCAAAGGAAAGAAGGGACCAATTCTCAAAAAACCATGTAAGTTTCAATTCTTGTTAGACCTGTTTTTATAAACAAACCCATCAGTTGCAGAATATTTTAATTTTTTTCAGCTGCTGCAAGGCTTATTTCCTCTGTCCCTCAGAATGAGGAAGAGGACCGCAAGAAGAAAGGGCTGTTAATTAGTGACTTGGACGTTAAGCAATTTGATGAAGAGGGAAATGTTTGGACTGTCCGGAGCCAAGGGAAGAAGACTAAAGGAAGTACTTACAAAGTATCCAAAGATGGTAATGGTTTGTGGGTTTGTGAGTGTGAAGATCACAAACGCCGACACATCACTTGCAAGCACATATACAAAATCATGGCTTTTGTGAAAAAAACAAGTATGATGTTCCTTACAAAAATATTCCCTATTCTGGTAAACAAAGTATAACTTGGTGTAATTATGTTCTTCTCTTCTTCTTCCAAGGTTCCTCTACTACTGTTAGTCTGACTCTCTCTTCACACACTGGTAACCAATGCATGTTCATTTTTGCTCTCGCCTCGTGGTCACAGTGTTCAATGCAGAGTCAGAAATGAAGTAGCTGACTCCTTGGTAGTAATAACATTTCTGCTTATGCTCTAACACCTTAAATGTAATTGCCTTAATTATGCTTTATTTTTATTTGCTTAGCCCTCCTCTCCTTTGGTGTTTAACTAAAAGTTTGGCGTGTGAACACTGTAATTTATTTCATATGATTTCAGTTCCAAATTGTACTTGTTGTGGTCAAATCTGTTTCCATGTAAATATTTGGCAAACTTTTTTTTTTAAATCCTGTATCTTGATTCTTACTTTAAACATTTTAATTTGTTGCTTGCTTTTTTCTCATGGTAAACTTTTTTTTGTGAACATGTTTGCCAAATATTTTTATTTCTGTAATTGATGAAGCATTTCAAAGTCAACATCACAACTATGATGGCAATGCCTTTTGAGAGATTCAAGGTTAGTCTCTGATTAAGTACTTCTTATATTAAGCAGGGTGTTATGTTCTTTGCTAGGTTTCCTTTAGATCTGCTGTCAGTGCGGTGAATTTGATTATTCCCCAATAGGCAATGTCGAATAGTGCCACCCACTAATTATTAATGTGTGGTTTACCTCAAAGATAGTTGTGAAACTGTGTTCTTGACGTAACTTGGTCATAACAAATCAACATGGAGGTACTTTGAACTCAGTTTTATCTCTTACCTGCTGTATTTTAACTTTTTTTGGTCTATAGATGCTGGCAGTGACAAGGAAGATGGAAAACTTTTTTGCTGTAAGTGTGGTGAGGAGGCAGGGGGTGGCCACAGGTGCTCGGTATGCAAAAGTGCTGTGCATGGTATTGAGCCGTGTTCGGTGGCTGCTCCAGGCGCAGAAGAGGGGTACGGCCAGCCTAGAGTTTGTGGGTGTTGCAGTGGTCTGTATATTTGGTTCATGATTCATCACAATTTACTCCTTTTTTCAAAATGCCATTTTTCTTATGCTGAACATTGATTGATTCAGGAGGCACCAAACGAAGGTCTGCTGACGTCTCTCAAATAAGCTGCTCACAGATTTCGTGTTTGCCTTGTCTTTTAGGCAAGGCAACAACGGGAAAACTCCAATGTTCAATATGTGACAAGCAACTTCATGACACAGTTGAGTGTTGTCGCATAGAGGATGGACAGCGCTTTTGCAGGGACTGCTCAAAAGGTTTGTGGTCAATCAAACTATGGCAAACCACAATTTGTGTCACAGCAAAAATATTTTTCTCATTTTACAGGAACTACCCCTTCTAAGGTATCCAGACAAGGCAGGAGTCTTGTAAAGAAAAAATTATTTTCGCCCCAGTAAGTTTTGCAATAGCATTTAATGATCTACCCTTTTAGTGTCTTGTGATTTGTATGCTTCTGCAGCCAATATTTCATCATATGCAAGTTTTTGTTGCCCAAATGTTTTAACGGTTTTAAATTTCTTGTTTGTGCTTGTTTAGCGCTTACTTTTTATTATCTTTTGCTTTGAATGCTTCTACAGCTAATATTTGCAAGTTGATGTTGCTTCAATCTTTTAACAGTTTAAAATTTCTTTGATTTGTTTGTGCTTGCTTTGCGCATACTTTTCAGTGTCTTTTGCTTTGAATGCTTCTGCAGCCAATTTTTGCAAGTTTATCTATGTTGCTACAATGTTTCAACAGTTTTAAATTACTTTTTAAAATAAACAATACACCTGAAGATGTGCAAATTTCTTTTATTATCTTCCCTTCCCTAGGCTTTTAATTTCATCTAACTTACAGAAAGAAATGAAAGAGTTCAATATCCAGACCAAGACATAACAATTACGAAAACCTGCAAAAAATCAGTTCTAATTTAGAATCTGGAGAGATTTCTCCATTTAAAAAAATATGAATTATGAAAAACAATTTCATTACCTAGAACATCCTTTGCACTTCAGGATATCCAAAATACGTAGTTTCATTACAAGGATGATTGTGGACATCATGAAATGCCGTGACCTTCAGTCTCCCTGCGGTCGTTGCTGCAACATGTATCCTCGCCTCACACCCAATTTTATAGGACCTGCATTTAAAAAAAAGAAACTGGGTTAGAACACGACAACCTTCAGTTGGAAATACTTATTGTGGCAAGCAAAACACTTACTCATGGTGTGGCTTTTTCCCTCTGGCAGGTCGAGTAGACATTGCTTGTTTGCATTCAAACTGCATTTTATTAAATTTCAAAATGTTGTTCTGTGACCTTTCACTCCTTCTCATGACAAATAGGCAGTAGGTATTTTCTTGAAAGGCCAAACGCCTGTCCTCAAACTCATTGTACGATGCAAATTCTTGGCCGAGGAAAAATCCCTCCCCAGCAACGAGCCCATCATCATTGTCATTGTCCTAGAACAACACAGGTTGGGATATTCAACAGCTCCAATAAGGTCAGGTAAGCAAAAGTAAAGTCCAAACCACTTCATGGCATAGTCACTGTTTGAACTTCATTTTTGCTTGCCAGTTAAGTGATTAACTTCAACAAGAATATCACTGTGATTTCGTTTTCTGATAACTCACCTCCATCATTTCCGATCAGCTATGAAAACCAATGAGCTTTTGGTTCTTGATGCAAGTGTTGACGTGTGAATCCCGATTAACTGCGACTGTTATTCGCTTGAAATCTTTTGAAAGAACGAACCGACAAAACACAAACGGCCGGAAGCAGGGTGGCCAACCTTTCTCCATCATAGAAAACGCACGCAGGAATTCGACTTGGCTTGTGCTAATAATGGTAAGCCGACGGATTGCACAGTTTGTGCAAGTAGCGTAGATTGTTGGGATTATCACAATTGGCGTGAAAAATAAGGGAAAGAAAATCAGAGGAGCGTGGAGTTGAACCTACGGTCGCACTACTGTCAGTCCCTCTTCCAACTTCGCTACTGTTTCGGTTGAGAGAGACCGTGTCAATGACCAATGACTTGCCGCCGGGACGATTGTGCAAATAGCATTGGTTTCGTCGACTGCACAAATTGTGCAAAACTTTGAGCAAAGGATATTTGCACGATTTTGTTAAATACAAATTGTGCAAATAGCGCTTGTTAAGGGGATTGCACAAATTGTGCAAATACCACAGCAGTACCTATTTGCACCGTACTTGTGCAAATATCCACAATGCCTGGAGGTGAGGTAGTTTCAATCGCCAGGACCGCGCTGCTCGTAAGCGCCGCGACTTGAATTGATTTGGTCATTGCGTAGGCACAGTACTACACAGTGCAGCGCAGCGAGCGTGGAGGCCGTGCGCCGAATGGCAGGCAACCCATCCGGCATGCTGGGCGCGAGCGCACGAAGGGTTGCCTACACGCAGGCGTTCACCACGACTGGCACACTGCACATGGAGGAGGATGACACTCGTCCTCCTCTTCGGTTCGTAACGCGCATTTCATCGTGACTTTGACTGCGCACCGAAAGATTTTTGCGAAATCCGAAGGGAAGGACAGTCGCAACCGATACCGACGTTCAATCGTTCAATCAAGCGCACCGGAAACGACAACGAACGGAAACGTGCGCAGTTGGCGATCTTGGACATTCCACAGCGGGACTCTTTGAATTTTTGTACAGTACGTACCATTATCAAACGCGTTCGCATGTGATTGAAAAATCCCCTCGTGATTCGATTTGCATATTCACTTTAACTGCACGAACGACCTTACAGTGCCTCGATGGATGCGGCCAAGTTGCCAGGCTGAAACAATTTTGTCTTGCAAATCTGTCAAGCAAACCGAGCAAACTGTTGCACTGTTGCACCATCACATAACTTTTTGCCGACATAAGATTCCTTTACAAATATCGGTACTGAATTGAGTTTGTTTTAACTAGATATCACCTTTTAGTAAGGAGAAGTCAATTTACGTGTTTCGTCAGCATTGGTCACTCACTGGTCACCAAATTTCAGCTTCAGCTAAACCGGCTCATCCCAAAAATAGAAAGCGTAGGCGGGCATTAGAAGTGGAGGGGAAAGATGGCGGACGAAGCAGCCGACATCGACATTACAAAATCAGATTACTTTCAAACGTTGCTTGATAGGCAAAGTCCCAAGATGACAACTCAAAGTGATGGTCTCGAATATTCGGACGATGGCATAGATTTCTCCACATTTGGAGGGGATTATGCATCTTTACCAGAAATAACAGATTTCGATAACGACAGATTCGACGCCACTAACCCAGAAGAAAGGGTCATCGAAAATGCTGGGTGAGTTTTAAATACAGTGGGGTTACTGTCATCCACTGTGCTCTTGTCCAAACAACAGTAAGTGTGTAATTCGTTCCAAATTGCTATCTGCATGATGTTTCATGGTATGTGCTGAAGCAACAAGTACTTGTTGATTCCTTGAATGCTCACAGCAGACCCAGTGAGTGTACTACTGGGAGTATTTAAGTCATGCAATTTTCGTTTGGTTTTCTCCCTTTTTCTTTCCATAGTAAACATTCGCTCTTGTGTTTATTTCTAAAGATTATCACAGTGTTCCTTCTCTGTTGTCACATATACTTTGACTTTGAGATGTTTTCATGTAACTATTGAAGGATGGGAAAAGACTAGGGGAGAATACTCCCTTCTTCTATCAGAGCCCACACGTATTCAATGCACCTATTATACAACATTGTTGTGTTAAAAAATGGCAGGTATATTCACACCATCAGTTCAGATGAGATCCACATGCATCTGCATCCTCTCGGAAAGCGAGGAGAAATGCCTTCAGATCCAAGTCATGCAACGCTTACCATCGAGACCACTGATCCTGACACAAATCAACGTGAAATCAAGCGTTTCCGTTGCGAGTACGACAGTTGCAGCCGATCCTACAGCACTGTTGGGAACCTTCGCATGCACATGAAGACTCACAAAGGTATTGTGGAAGGAGTCATGATTTCTATTCATTGATGAAAAAATCATTCTCTCATCTACATTCATCATTTCATTCCAATTATAAACTTGAAATAAATGTACATATAATATTCTTATTTTAAGTATACAAGGACACACCATAGTTCGGATCACCTTTTTTGTGTTACTTTTTCACCCTGGCACCTCTTAACATAGCATTTCGCATTCATGTTGCTCACTTACAAACTTAACAAATTAGGGCACAACCCCATCTTACTTCAGGAAATTAAGTTATGTTATTTATTTAATTGAGCCTGTCACTTTAACAACTTTTTTTTACACATTAAATTGGATGTGCTCTTGCCGCTTAATCCTGGCCTGCTGCCTGTGCAGAATATTATGAAATTTGAAGCATGCTCCATGAAAATTCCATTGCACTGTAGATATGTTTTTGTTTGTGTCACTGTCAAATATTGTCCTAAAATTTTAAAAAATAATATTTTTTTTACTCATTACAATGTTACAGTATCATATTTTCCCAGTTTTCTGTAACATAATTTTGTCACTCAACAATACCCTTTATATTTCATTTTAAGTTTTCATTTGTTTGTTACAGGTGAGTTTCGGTTCAAATGTTCGCAGCCAAATTGCGGTAAAGCATTTCTGACTTCATATAGCCTGAAAATACATGTGAGGGTTCATACAAAAATAAAACCTTTTGAATGCATCCAAGATGGATGTGACAAAGCCTTTAACACACTTTATAGGTAAGCAGAATTTACATCAAAACTTGAGTTGTTGCCTTAACTTATTATAATCTTTGTAATCTTTGTGGTATTATCAAATCTGATTTAGGCTTCGTGCTCATCAAAGACTTCACAATGGCAACACTTTCAAATGTGAGGAGTCAGGTTGTGTGAAATTTTTTACAACTCTGAGTGACTTGAAAAAACATATTCGTACTCACACTCAAGAAAGGCCTTACAAGTAAGTTGATTTTCACATTAAAAATATCCTAGGTGTACGGCAAGATGCAAAAATCTAATAATTTCATTTATAGGTGCCAGGAGGAAGGCTGTGGAAAAGCCTTCACTGCAAGTCACCATCTTAAAACTCATCACCGGACACACACATCTGCAAAGAATCAAGTTAGTAACACACTAAACAGATTTTGTTTCCTTGACTTTTCCTGTCTTTGCATCATTCAAATTTTTTGCCTTTTAAAATTGTTATACTATATCATATTGCATATTTTACAGAGAGAGAATAATATTGATTCTGATTCAGATGAACTCGAAGAACCACAGCAGTCAATTCAAAGGAGTCCTGACCAGGATTTGGGACCACCCACTGCTATTGAAAGTGCATCAAATAGCTTCATTCTTTGTGGTAACACATCTATTCCTGCAATTATCAGCTATTCATCAGATGGTGAAAAACACAGCATGCAACTCCAAGTGGATACATCCAACGTCTTAAAAAATCAATTGGATGGCACAAAGAACCTCCTTGGCACTTTGCAAGACTTACAAGTTCCAGCAAGTGAGACAACTACTGCTCTCTCTGAAATAGGAGCTTATTGGAGCAGTACAGATGTTTTAGATGCTGCTGTTGCAGAGACATTTGAACCTGCTGCTTTAGAAGGTGCTGAAAATCTGCTCAGCTCTTCTGAGAACGGTAGTGCTGCACAACTGTTGCACCTGCCATACACCATTGCACCAAGAATCACTACACAGAGCATAGATGAAGAAAACATCTTATCTTCTTTACTTATGCTGGAAAGTTGTGTGCCTCCAGTTATGTGTCAAAGTGAAGAAGGTCAAGAGACTTTCGAAGATTCTGCATTGCCAGATGGAAATAACGAAAGCATTTCTATGGCGAATTTTAATGAGACCGGTGCAGACAATGATGTTAATGATATCTTATCCCTCATGGAAAACACAACAGATATGCACTTATCATCAGTACTGCCATATCCTGGAGAACCAGTCTCCTCTCAGGACTCAGTTGGCACAAAATCAATTGAAAAACCTGACTGGGTTGATGTAGCATCCCTCAATGTCTGCACTAAACAAATGGCATCAGAGGAAAAACTTCGTTCACAGGGTCAAAGCAGTGACATCTTAAAAATTGTTTCCGCAGATATCTGCAAATGCACAAATTGCCAGTGTGGAACAACCTCTGGAACAAACTGCCTGGATTGTGATTCAGGAGAATTGATAAACGGGTGCCACAAAAAAGATGCGGAAACCCAGGTGGATGATAGTGACCAGTTGGATGTGCGCTTTAACATTGGAGTAGTTGAGCCCTCTGGGTGGTCAGAAAACATAGCCAACAGAGCTGCAAATGTTCCTTTCGTGAGTACGAGCGCACCTCTCATTGACAGCAAGGAATCATCCTCTCTTCCTATTGAAAGGAATCCCAACCCATGTTGTGTAATGGTGTGTCTAAACACAATGGAGCAACTTCGAATGGTGCTGCAGAAGAGTTGTTGTCAAGCAGCAAGCAATTCTTTACAAGCCCTTGCGATGCACATGGCTCGGCCGTCTTGCTGCTCTCCTCGGATGTCTAAATAGAAACAGCTTGAATGCTTTTGAATTCTTTTCCTGTGTTACATACATGACTCTAGTCAAAGTTAGTCATTAATTTTTCTTGTCAAAATCATTATAAATAAATGTTTGCTAAAAGCTGTGGTAATCCTAAAGTCTGACTTACTTTAAGTCATTTTATGAGTGTCATTTTGTGTGGTGCAATATGAATGCGTGTCTGCCAAAAAAGTCAATTTTTATATTATTATAATGTTATGTTGAAGAGTTATGCTATTGTTTTTTTTCTTGCTGTTCGATCACTTGAATTTTTGCATGCATCTTTCTTTTGTGAGTAATTAGGAATACTAATGCTTAGAGCTGGCTCTAGGCAGCTGTATCAGCTTATGAAGACTACGATTTTTAAGTTATAAACGACTGTTTTGTGCTATATATATATACTATTATCTTTATAATTTAGTCTAGTTATAATGCATTGTGACCAGCTCGACCCATTGAACAAACATGATACCTTTTTGTTGTATTATTGTTCACATTTTTGTGAGACCTCTAATGGAATTGTGTCATATTGCATAAGTTAGTCAGTGCTATCTACAGTATTACTGTACCACAAAATTGCAGTTATTGTTAAATTTTGATCAGTACTACTTTTTGGAGATTCATCCAGTCTATGAAAATTATATTTTGATTAATGGTAATTAAAGAACAATTTTAAAATTAGTTTAAGTTCATGCTCAAAGTTTTTACTACATCACCATAATCTCATCCCCTTGTCCCATATGTCCCAATGGAAGGGATGTAAAATAAGATGAAAAGTTAGGCCGCAGTCACATCATAAATTTAATCACAATCTTATCACAATCTACACACTATCTACAAATATGTATACTTGATGGTTTCTCTGAGAACATGCACGGTTTAAGCTTACAGGTCATGAGGCACCTCTTAGGTATGCAGCGAGGAGTTGCAAATCACATCAAGTATCGATGGCTTGGTGTGAATAGTGAGCAGTTTGTAAGACAGACAAAATTTAGGGGAGCAGGAATGAGTAGAGGAGTTCTCAATAATCCTTTAAGAGTCAGTTCAGTTACTTTGGTCCAAATGTACAATAGAGCTAAGCATATCAATTTGCCCCTTTCCTAACTGCAATATAGCAACAATTCAAAACTTGATTGCAAAATCCATACATCTCTTTCATGCCTTATAACAAAAATGGTTATACGATTCAACCAAACAATGACTATTACATGATTGAGCACATATACTTTCGAACGTTTCAAGAAATCAAATATGTACACAAAAATGCAACAAATTCTCAAACAAAGAGTGAACAATACAATCCAAATAAAAGCAGAGTAGTTAAAGCATTTCATTTTAATGAAAAATTACACTTTTATGCAATATATTAAATAAATGTTTAAATGTCAATAGATTCCATCTTGTAAAGCAAAAGAATACACACATTATCAGAAACCCCGATATGATAGGTACTGAAATTGTATAAAATCGATTATTTCAACAATTTCATAAGAGAGGTTCAACGACGGCCATTCATAAATTACACATCTGTGCCCAGATAAACGAAGGCATTTACAAGCCTGACAATGAGCAACAGTAGTCTAAATACAATATAATAGTTGTTATTTTGTACACCTGTGACACTGAATATGAGAGAGGGCTAACATATCAAATTTGTTGTGTAACACACCACAGTCCTAGTAGCACATGCAATGCAGTCTTCAAAAAGTAACAAAGCACCACGTAAGAGAAGAAGATCCACACCTCCTTCTGAAGAAATAATAAAAACTTTTTCTCTTCCCTTTTGTACTAGCCATCCTGGGGAACAATTTTGCTGAGTTGTAGTGGGAAAAAAAGGGTTACATTGAGCTCTCAACAATTTACTTTGAATGTTTCTTCTAGCATAGACAAAAATTGACATGCAAAGTTCTGATGCCCAACAACTACAATTGAAGAAATATGGAGTGGCTCTTGGACTTAGAAACAGGTTGCAGGATTGCTGCACTGTGTTTTAATGCAAACCCCTTCAATAGTAGATTGTTTCTTATGTCTTTTTTTCCTCTCCCTATTCTTTAGTCCTCTTTTCTTCTTTTGTTTTTCCAATTGAAGTAATGTGGATTATATGGGAAACAAATTAACAATTGTTGAAAATCCAAAATAATTTATAAAAGTTGACAAGACTAGACCAAAAACAGTAATTAAAAGCTTCAAAACTGCATCATGACAACACACAAATTAAATATCAATAGTAGAGAACAACAAGACAAGGTGGAAAACTTTATACAGAGCAGGCCTGCTCTATACTTATTCAAGTAGAAAAATATCAAAACTGGCCACTTCCTTGTTTATAAAACAAGATAATACAAAACTCTTGATTTCCCCTAGGATTTTCATTCATAACAATGATACAAGAGATTCAGGAACAGGTTGTATCTCATGGAACATGGGAGACATTTTGAAAGTGTCTGAATAACAATTGCATTTCAACAGTTAATTTATGAGGGTTTTGTTTTTAAACTCTTATGGAAGGCTAAGACAAAACGCAATAAACCTCAGGGAAGCCCTCAATAATTCTCTTGCACTGAGCACTTTATACTAAATGTTACACATCAAAAGAATGTTGATGTGATTGTTTAAAGTACCCAATTTTGCATAACTCAGCAAGTCCACACTTCTGAGAAAGTTTGTCAAAAAGAGCAAAGCAGAAAAAAAGCCAAATTTATATTAACAATCTCCTGCACACAGAAAACAACATTAGGTTCAATCTTGTTAAAGAGAGATCACTTTATGAACTTTGCATCATTTTTCCCCATGTGACATTTGACACTGACTTCAAAACCTTCAATGGGTTAATCCTTTAGCATGGTATATTTTTTAATTACATGTATACTTAATTTTGGGACTGAGATTACATCAAGAGGCCACCTACAATTCACATTGCTAAAGAAGCAAATACATTTCTGTACACCCATCATGAGTACTTGTGTTAACTTGTCCGTAACAATCCCTAAATAGTAGTACAAGGTGAAGGCACACAAACAGAGTACTTCCAGAAAAATAACAAGCACTAAGACAATTTTAAAGCAAAATACACCTACATCAACAAGAAGACAAATTTAGTGCAAACAGCACTTTTACATAGTAACAACAACAATAACAACAACAATTATAAAAGTATCAAGGGACTTATTTTGTTAAAACTCTGACGATATCAAGTGTCCAAATGCTTGTGCTAACCATGTGTGCCAATTTCTCCAAAAGCATTTCTATGAGAGCGAAATTGCGTCATTAGTTGCTTTTAAGTCCAATTGCTGCTTCGTTTGAAACATCAGAAGACAAAACAGGTCAACAATACCCTCAGAGTTCAAAGTAACATTCTGTCTTGCACTTCCTAAACATTGAACAGTCTTTTAAAAATATGTTTCTCAAAATAACGGAAATGTTACTTTTAAATAGAGACGCATTTAACAAATTGTTTCAGGCAGATAATAAAAGACAGTCGTATGTATATGTCATTTGTATTTTCGACATTTGAACTTAAAAGCAGACAGTAGCACATCAAGAAATCTACTATGGAGGTTGTCAGTCAGAACATTGCTTAGATAATACACCGAGCAGCATTGACTTTAAGTACTGTAAACTGCTATAAATTGGTAAAGCACCAAATATGTAGAATATGTTAGTGATAGAAGCTGAAGCACTAGAACTGAAATCTGCCACACAGTCTGAATGGTCTACACAAGGATGAAATGTTCATCCTCGCGATTTATTACAGACACCTCTGGTCCCAGCAAAACTTAACTACCTTAGTTCACTTAATCACAAACTCATAGTTGATTGAGATTGCGAACAGAAGTATTTTAATGGGCCTGCTAAATGGCTTGTATGCATAATTTCACCTTTGGTTATCCTCTAACCCCCCTCAATATTTAAGAAAATTAAAAATGCTAATGAACAGTCAACAGGGTTATAATATCTTGTCACACTTTCTGCTCCTACCCCATTACCCTATCGACAACCAAAAACAACAACATAGGAAAAACAAAATGGGACATGGAAGTTATTTCACACATAGGAGAAAAGTTGATACTGATCAATACAGAGGGTAGTTGAATCATAAAAGTACAGGCGAAATGATTAGAGTACATTGCAAAGCTAAGGCAAATATTGCTGCTGACAACAAGTGATAGTGTGTGCTAAATTTCAAATAATTACCATATTTTGTTAAAATGCCACTCCAAATTGAAAGAAAAGAATTAAACTACAACTTCCATGTCCAAAGACAAGGATTGATTTCAGGGACTTTGTTACAAAATAATACTCTTCACACAGAGCATATTCAAGGGAATATGATAGGAACTTGCACTGTAAGACAAGAACGGGTTTGGTTCCTTTAGTTAAACATAAAAATGAATGAAAAAGTACTGATGAGAAAGAGCCCCAGGCTGTCACATGTTAATAACAACAGTTTAAATAAACAGAAAACAATTCAGTGCTTTGAGAAAGAGGATAGGAATGTAAATGGACAAATGTCTATCAATCAGGTGCTTTTTAGCTGCAGTAATCAATTCATAAACAACTAAATGAAAAGAAACATGAGAGTTTAACTATTTTATACAAGTGAGCAGTATCCATCTTGTGAATGATGATAATCACCAGACCCATTAAAAGGAGAGAAAAACACGAGAGGATAACTTAAAAAGATAAAAGTTACAAACACACATTTTGATAACAGCACTTCTTTAAATAGGAAAGAGGAGACCTCCAGGTGCTCATATGGCACAGCATAATGCAGAAGTAACAGTGTTTCACCACATACACACAACCACTACAAAATTCATTCATACATAAAAACGCGCTTATGGAGCACTTCAGTCACTTTAAATCACATAGGAACCTTGTGGCTGAGTGTAATTTTTGAGTTTTTAAAATTTGCTTTAGTATTTAAATTATCTTTCCTCAATATAACCTACTCAACAGTGCTGTGGATTGCTAAGGAAGAGCTAGAGGCTGAGATTGTACTTCCTAAAGTTGAACTGCTGATATCTTGATAGCTGAATTGCGCAAAGTATGGCTGAGTGTTTTCCAGTTCTTCAGCTATTGAATTCAAGGGACCAGCATTTTCAGGTGGTGTCAGTTCAACACTCTCTCCTGTGAACTCTGAATCAAAATACCTTGTATCTGTGTCAGATGTTACTTGTGGCTTGAATGGTGGTGTTAGCTGAAAGGAATAAAAAGTATTTCAGGATTAAACTTAAGTGTTGACAAGTGGATCATAAAAATAACTACAGATAAAATTAATTTACCCTTTTGGCCTGAAGGTCAGACCAATTGATACAACTGAAGAAGGGATGAGCCATAATGTCATTTGCATCTTCGGGGCCACCTCCAAGACGCCTATTTGGGTCTTTCATAAGGAGTCCAGTTAACATATCTCGGGCCTCAGCTGATATGTTGCGAGGAAATCTCACCTAATCAAATTTAACAGGAGTTGAAATGATACAGAGTAACACTAAAGTGATCGAAGTACACGAAAATTGTACCACTTACCTCTTCCACAAGAATAAGAGTAAATAAGACATCATGATCTCTGTTGTAAAATGGCAGCCGTCCACACATCATCTCATACATTACAACACCAACACCCCACCAATCAACAGCTCGTCCATAATCATTGTCTTCAAGAACCTAAGGCACAAAAATGGCAAGAGAAGTATAAATATGAGCAGGGGTTTCAAAAATAGGCAATCAAAAGTAAAATAAATTACCACCTCTGGTGCAAGGTACTCTGGAGTGCCACAAAATGTCTTAGTGGTACTTCCATAGGTTATATCTTCTTTACAAAGTCCAAAATCAGCTATCTTAATATGACCATCTTTGTCGAGCAACAAATTTTCCAGCTAAAACATCAAATAAGGTACTTAGCAGCACTACTTTATTTCAACAAGTTAATAGGTTGGAGAATTACTCGAGTTACCTTCAGGTCTCTGTAAATTATTCCTTCACTGTGAAGGTAGCCCAAAGCAGAGATGATTTCGGCTCCATAAAATCTAGTCCTTTCTTCAGAGAATACTCTTTCACGGGATAAGTGGAAAAATAATTCACCACCATTCACATATTCCATGACAAAACAAAGTCTGTCCGCTGTTTGGAAAGAATATTTAAGGCTCTGCAAATAAACAAACAGTTAAGAACTCATTTTCCAAATGAACGAAATTTCACAAATCAAGAACAGTAGCTTACAATAAGGAAGGGATGATTGGTAGTTCGTAGGACTCGATTTTCAGTGAGTGTATGGGCAACTTCGTCCTTCTTAATGATAACTTCTTTTTTTAAAATCTTGATAGCATAAAGATGACCAGTGGCTTTCTCTCTGCATAAAATTACTTTACCAAAAGTACCCTTCCCCAAAACTTTGAGAAACTCAAAATTTTCCAAGGTCTGAAACAGGAAATTCAGATTTAAAGAAGGGCAAGAAAGATGCATAAGACTGTTATTTGGTGATAGGATCTGATGACATACCACTTTCTTTTTTCCTGATCGGTTGCTGCTTGAAGTACCTTGGACTGAAAACTTTGCTGACAGCTCATCAATAGCAGAACCATCAATACTTGAATCACCACTATTAATAGAACTGGCACGTTCCATCATTTCCACATCCTGACTGTCAGCAAGGTTGTCTGACACTCCTTTTATGGCAGCAACCCACTCCTCCCTTTTAAATAACAAACCCAAACACACAATCAGAAAATTAGCAAATGAATATTCTATGAGACAAGCAATATGATGCAAATAGTATACCTGTCAGCATCTGACTCTGCATGAAAAGTCCTTTCAATAACAGTGGTTAACTGAAGCCCTCTAATAATAAATATGTAAGGCTTGGGGCGATCCAGACTCATTATTTGACATCCTTTAACAGTGAAGTTATTTAGAGGATCACCTAGGGCACCCTCTGGTTTGTTTTTGAAGCCAATCAGTGAACCATTGTCCAGCAAATAAAAATACCTCGGTCTCCAATTTTTAATATGTTCGCCTGCAAAACAGATATACATTGTAGTCAATCAGGTTATAAAGGTAAAATAAAATGCTTTTAACAAGTGTACATTGCAGCTTACCTCTCTTGTAGAGCCACCCTTGTTTCACAACATTACCAGGGAGTGGTAGACTGGGCACAGCGGGCACAAAGCCCGCAGTCTGTTCACTCATTGTAACCGCCTGAGAATGGTGTTGGTGGTGCAGTTAGAAACCTGAAAGAGCAAGGAAATTTAATAATGCCTAAGGAAAAATTTTTCTTCCAAATTATTTAAAAAATATTAAAAATGTGGGTACATTTAGTTAGCATTCATATTAAGCTGAAATGACGAGGGACATAAATTAAAAATAGCTCAAACAGTTCCATTCAATGCAAATGGTGCAATGAAAGAAGTAAATGGCACTCATTATGATAGTGTTAAGTTGAATCAGATGAAATGTTTGCCTCAAAGAACCAGAAAAATCTTCCCAAGAGAAGAGGTCACAGTTCAATTGAGAAAAGAAATGTCTAAAATCACAACAAAGCAGCACAGTTCTTATCAAAAGTTGCAGACAGAAGTTGTCAATTTATGAAACGACCACTTTAGAATTATTTACAAGCAGACGTGAGAGAAAAAGTAAGATTGATACATGGCAGAGGCACTAAACAAGGTTAACATGAAAAGAGGTTTGAAAGAATTTCCACCGACTTTTCACAGCAGGTCAATCCGTTATAGAGAAGACAGACACACAACATGTGGAATCATTTGTGCCCGAGGTGTGATAATAGACACCTACAGGGTGACGAACTGCGCAGTTCGCACGTAACGACTCGACTCGTCAGGGGACCTTGGTAGAGCACCTAACCTATACGACACAACAAAGTCCCCAAATGACCCCGAGGAAGGCCCAACAAGAGTTGGACCGTGTTATAATGTCACAATAAGTATAAGAACAGTCAGAATTATTTAAATGTAGAGCACGTTTGTGTCAAACTTCCAATTTCACAAAGTCTTTCTGATCCCAATGCATGGTCCAATGGTTGAAGTATCATAGTTATTGAGGGCACAATAGTTAAATAAAACACTTACACGAGGGGAAAGTAAGACGTAGGCTTCGTTAATGCGCGCCTTTTCTTCGCAAATACAAACACTTTCGCTCAAAATCGAGAATTTGACAAAGGTAGGCTTACGACTTACAATCAACTCCATCCAAAACAACGACGATGGAGGGTCTGTTCGTGTAGCACCGCACGGCGTACGCACGCACGGCCATTCATTCCAGTTCTGACCTCAATCGACCGTCACACCAGCGCCCCTTGCGGCAGTCTTGAGTACTGCGCAGCGCGCGAAACCTGAACAGCTGGCCGTCTCGCGTCTCGCCTGTCGCCTGCCCGCTACCGCTGTTGCGGCAGAGGGCATTGTTGTTCGCAGCATCTCGGTGGCTGGTGGCTCACAGTCACAGATCCTGGAGACAATGAGTTGCATCTCGTTTGACTCCCCTGCAGCGGCGGAGCCCTTGGGCAAGCCCGTTTTTCGTTGTCAAAACTTGGTCGGCCGGCCGGCTAGGCTAGGCTCGCCACGCCGCACGGCCATCGCGACCATAACGCACACAAATGTCTACTTTTGGCGTCCAGACAGTCCGGACTGGCCTTGCTCACTGTTTGTAGTTCGGTATCAATGCGACTTTATGACAACATAATCGTAAACCGTCTCCGCCGCCATAGAGATGACCACCCCTTCCCTTTCCGCGGCTCGCGGCCAGGAGTTGAGCCTCGGAGACAAGCCGAGGAGGGAGGGGAGCGGAACGGTGCAGAACGGGCGCCTCCGGACATCGCCAATATATGGCGGTCGTTTGGACAGACAATAAAAGCAACCAGCTTTGCCAAACACGCCGTGTGTGTGTGCACGTTGCGCACCGCGGCACCGCTGGCTGAGGGTACCGCGCCGCCTCGGTCCGCGGTCGGTCTGGTCGGCCGCGTTACACCCTCATGCCAAGCAACGTGGGCGTTGGCGGCGATGCACCACTGGAAGAGCAGCGGCCAGTTCCAGGTCAACTGCTGCACCAACCTTTTCTCCAAGGCTGGACCCCAGGACTGGTGGACGGGGCGTAAAGTGCCCCCATTGTTTGTCCGATCCTCGGCCCGACTGGTCCGGCCGGCCCCATTCGACCGTTCCTGGTTCCTTGCTGCGCCACTGGCGGAACCAGGCGGAACGGCGCGACGCGACGCAAGGCCCCTGTATCGCAAGTGACGGCCATGATCAAGGCCACCATCAATCATTGACAGTAATGAAAGTTTGACTGGCCGCCCCGCCCTCCACGCACATCCCTCCCTCCCTCCTCAGGGATATAAAATCGTTATATCGGGATTGCATTTCAAAGTTTACCCTTGCACCCGCCCCGCCCCGTTCCTCATAATTCCATTTGCACTGTGGCGCCATGTGTCGCCCCCGACTGGCGGCACGATAAATCCGGACCGTGATTGAAAGAGAGAGGAGCAACAACACGGGGTATAAGCGGCGGACAGGTTGCGAGACTTGGAGGCGAGGGCCCGAGGGGCGCTGCAGCCAGCTTGCCAGCTTGCTGCAGGTACTTTCCATTAATTTACTTTTGACCTCGCGGGAAGTAAAGTGCGGAGGGGAGAAGGGCGGCAAGTCACGCCACATCACTCATTCTTCCGGCCAGATTGCATCGTCACTAACGCCGCTTTTTTGTTGTTTTGTTTTTCTTTTTGCCTCCTTGTCGCCGTGCGCGCCGCCGTGGCGACACACGACGCTATATCCCCGCTGCGCCAGCGCCGCCAGCGGAGAGTGAAGAGGCGTTTTAAAATAATCACAGCAACCTAAGCAGGGGATTCCGGTTTTTTGCATCGGCGCGTGTCGCAGCGGCTCGGCTCACTTAGCTAAACGAATCCACATAACGCAAATGGGTGACAAGTGTGCGGTGTGCATGCTGGGGTCACGCCCAACAATGGCCTGTAAAGTGACTGCGGAGGGGAAAGGGGGGGGGCACCCCGCGTGGGTGACTACAAGAGGGTTGTCCTCGCTCACCCCGCCTCACACCACCCCGCCCCATCTCGCGCCGCCCCGTCGAGCGGCGTAGGATGTCGTTGGCTGTCGCAAGGTTCAAGGCTCGGCGAGCTGAAAAAGAAACCGTCTTTGCAACTCTGCGATCTACTGACGCACCGCACCCGCGCCTGAGGTTCGGCAAGTTAGGCAGCCCATCAGGCACCTATGACGAAACGACGGAATTGCGAAACTCTCCGCGACTGTCCTATCTTTTTAGCGTTGAGATTCCACAGTCTGAGAGTTAGCAGAAGGTCTTGCGGGGTTTTCCTCGAAGATCTTGGCAGGGTACTTACAGGTGGGACGAGCAGGGGACCCTGGCGCCCCACCGTCCTGCCGCGCCGCCCGCGCCGCCCCAGCATCCCCGCAGAATTTATGGGGCGATTCTTGCATATTGACAGCTGAAAGGGACCGTGGGTCCGGGCTGGGCTGCCGATGGCTGCCGATGCAGCCCTGGGCTGGGCCTGGGGTGGGCGAGGAAGGTGAGGGGTGGTTTGTGCCCCACGGCCCCACGGGGGGCAGCGGTGCGCAGCAGCACGGGGGTGAAGGGGGCTTCATATCAACATCCGATGCTGAGTCACCTTCTTGTGGTAGTGCTGGATGCGCCCCCACTCCGTGTCTCCCTTTTGCACCCTCGGTGGGGCCCGCGTCAGCCCCCTGTGTCAGCCACCCCCCCCCCCCTATCCGCGCCCCACACGCATCAGTTTATGTCTCGGTGCCGGTTTCGCTTCGTCCCGTGCTGCCTGCGCTGCCTGCGCCCCAGAGGACAGCTTTGCCATGACAGGAACCAGACCCGGAAACAAGGTCAACCCCACTGGCGCTGGCCTCGGGGGCGCAGCACCACCAGTTCCGGCTTACGTGCCAGATTCTTTGAATCCTCGACAAACCCGAATCAAAAATTCAATACTCTTCCTGGTTGGGATTGGGCTATTTCCCCTCAGCGGAAGCTCGCCACCACATCGTTTGTTACTGTTTTTTTTTTTTTGTTGTTGTTGTTGTTTTTATTTTGTTTTTGTCCGCTCCAATTTACTTAGTGACTCAATATTTTAGGGCGCCGCGCGGCGGGGGCCGTCCTGCAACAAAGGACTCGTTGAGTCATCTCATACACGTCGGAGTGGCGTGATGGAAACCCCAGCGACGCCCAGCGAGGAGACCCCATGCTCGGCCCATCCATTTTTCTGCGATTTCTCTCGGGGGACACGCCACGCCACGCCACGCCACGCCACGCCACGCCACGCCACGCCACGCCACGCCACGCCACGCCACGCCACGCCACGCCACGCCACGCCACGCCACGCCACGCCACGCCACGCCACGCTGTGAGAGGCGAGGCCGGCGAGGCCGGCGAGGCCGTCTCCGGGGCAGCCGTCGATCATCCCTCGCGGGGCGCAGTTCTGGCCGGGCCGGGTGCATGGCCACCCAGGAAAAGGTGAGGAGAAAAACTTGAGCTCAACACTCTTATGCGAGGGGGCGACCACTCGCAGCAAAATCCACTTTTTTGGCCGAAATCTCGTAAAATCCTTTCGAAATCGAGAAAATTTCTTGAAGTACCATCAAAATCTGGTGAAATCTCGCAGAATCCCACCAAAATCTCGCGAAATCTGGCATAATTTTTACGCGAACTCCTGCGAAATCTTGCGAAATCTCGACGAAAATCCCCGCCTTTGAAGAATCCTGTGTCCAAAAATATTTCAAGTGGTTGCCCCCTTGCTATGGCCGCACAGACGACACCGGCCAGCCCATCGCAGGTGGTGGGTTACTGCGTGCGCGGCAGCTGCCTAATGTACTGGTGTACCAGCCACTCGAGGCTGCTAGTGTGCATGACGACGTGACGACACAGGTGTCACGTGTCACAGAGCAAGGGTGAGGTTAGGTAAGGCGCTCGGCCAGAGGCCTGGAAGGCTGGAGGGCCTGGCAAGGCATATCGCATACCTCGCGGCGGGGCGGGGCGGGGCGGGGCGGGGCGGGGCGGGGCGGGGCGCGGCGGGGCGGGGCGGGGCGCGGCGGGGCGGGGCGGGGCGGGCGCGCGGCGGGGTGCGGCGGGGTGGCCTGGGAGTAGTCGTGCGCGTGATACGCCCGCACTCAAAGCGACCGCACCGCAGTGCTGCGGTAACCCGGCCCTGGCTACGTCGCTGCTACGCCGCCGCTAGCTACACCCTCGGCCCTCGTGCGTAGACGCGTAGACCGCGACAGCAGACTACCGCGCCGTGGGGCGTGGGGCTCACCTGGCGAAGGGGCCGACCCGGCAAATACCAGCCTACTTCAAGATACAAGCGCGCCCAGGACTCTGCGAAATCTGTCCAATGCCGTTGGATGTTTGATAATTGTGAAATGGGCCTGATGGAAACCAGAAATCGAAATTGAAATTATGTGTTCCTGTAAATGGAATTTTCTGCCGGTGGCCGGGGGAACGACCGAGGCCTGAGAGGTGGGGGCATGTCTATCCATCATCGGCTAATTAAAGCCGACTCGATGATGATGGCCTATTAAAAGGGAATCGCTCTGTACTCCCAGTGTACTCCCCTATACGCGGGGCTGAGTTCCTCTCAATCGCATCCACGGCTGCCTGGCTCGGCCTGGCTGCCTCCCCCTCTCGATTGAATTTATCAGCCAGCTCGCGCCGTGCGCCCAACAATGTGTTCTAGAAACACATTTTCTCCAACTCTTTTGCTTCATCGGCAATGATGAGGGCCGGCTTAGTTCGTTTCTAGGTCGCTGCTCTGTATTTTATACGCGCGACATTTTTTTTACGGTTTGGCTAAAGAGATTTCTCCTTTTCACCTAGCAATATTGTACTCGAACATTATCGAAAAGATCAAGCCTGGCTGTGTTTCCGGAGAGTCGTGTGGTGCGCGGGAGAGGGAGAGAGAGAAAGGGGGGGGGGGAGAGTTTGAGAGACCGTCGGGACAGGGCGGGACGTAGTCCAGTGGCTCCCTCTGTCTCCTCCTTTTCTGATGAATGGAACTCGCAATGCGCGGTGAGAGGTCTTGTTGAGGGACACCCCTGCTGGAGCCGCAGGGCACCCCCCCCCCCCCCAGCGAGCAATAAGGCCCCAGCAAGCCCTTTCCATATGGGGCAGTGCGAGGGTGCTTTCGCACAGACGCCCACCAACCACGTCTCATCCAATAAACGACGGAAACGCTTTCCCCTCAATACGTACACGCGTTTGCCGGAAGTTCGTTTCTTTTTTTCGACGCCGCCGTCCTCCAGGTGGACGCGGCCCAGCACGTGTGTGAGGTAGGCCCCACGTCGTCCCCGCGGCGGTTCTCTCGGGAGGGGGGCGTGGGTGGCGAGTTGTCTCCGGATGAGTCAGTGCGCTCGGTAGCCTGCAGGCTGCAGCCGGGGTCGTGGCGCTGTCCTCGTGGACGGCGGCGTGGATGTAGTGCGTGCAGCGCTGGGCTTTCGCTGCCGCAAGTCGCAGCGAGGGCGTTACCTCGACGCGCGTACCGAGTACCCGCTAGCGGCGCTCGATCCAGAGATCTGGACCGTGCTGCTTCGCGCTGCCGTTAGGCGCTAGACGCCATCACGTCTCATTGTGCAAGTGAACGCCCCGCCCGTGCCTGCTAGTGCCGGTGACCACGGCAAGGTGTGGCGGCTGCGCGGCCGCAGATAAGGCCAGTGCGATACGCGCCGTTCGCGATCGCGGCGGAGAGGTGAGGGGGTGGGATGGGGTGGGAGGGGGAGGCCCGCGCCGGCTGGACGGTGGCGCCGCCGAGCGGTGCGGCGGAGGCGGCAACTACGACTCGCGTGCGCTGTGGTGCCGCGGCGGCCCGAACGGGACGGGACGCTCCGGCGGGAAGGGAACCCGCCGCTCACCGCTTCAACACAGTTGGCCGCGAGCAGTCGCCAGGTCCGCGTCGGGGAGTCCCGCGCTCGCGTCGCGAACGTCCAGTGCTACGTACGCTACGCCGATCGGCACTCGCCCTCGCATTCCCCGCGCCAACACCGACGCCTTCAAGCAGCGTCGCGACGCCCAGCGACGCCCTGCCCACAGCAGGGGCGTCTGTTCTCCGAAGATTAAGGTGGCCGTCGTGGACGGACTGTGCTGTCAGTGCGGGTGTGGCCGTGACAGGTGTGAAAGTGTCTAACAAGTGGTTTCTGTGACGAGGCAGTGTGTGTGCCCAAAGTGTCGAGTGCCCTGGATAACCCAAAGTGCAAGCCGAGTGACAAGTGTGTGAGGCAGAAGTGACGACCCGCTGTGTTTCTGCTGGAAACAGTGTGCATTATTGTGAAACAGTCGCGGGGGAGCGTCGAGACAATGAAGACCAGGAAGATGACGGAGTCCGGCGGAGGGGGGCGTTGGTGGATCTACGCCTTGCTCCTCGTCGCTACGTTTAAAGGTGAGTCCTGTAAGCACACTGTAAGCACACTGTAAGCACACTGTAAGCGCACGTGTGTCTTGAAAGGTTAGGCCAGCGCGCTGCAGTGCCTGCAGCCTTGGGCCGGGCACGGCGGCGCGGCTGCGGCTCAGCCAGCACGGCGCTGCACCGCTGCACCCACTCCTACCTGCGCGGTTGCCGCGGCCACAGGTAGCGGCGGCGCGTAGCGTGGCGTAGCGTGGCGTAGCTTGCGGCCGGCCGGTCGGGAGGGGGCAAAGTTACGCCGGACCGACTGTGCTCGCCGTGCTCCGTCCTTCATGCGGAACGCCATGCTCTCCCGGCTCGCCTCGGCTGTGCTCCGCCGAGCTCCGCGCTCCGCTCGGCTCGGCCGCCCCGTCCCGGCTTGCGTCCTGTCGTCCTGTCTGTCCGCCGTCTGCCGGCCGCGGCATGCCGACGGGCAGGTGCACGGGACAGCATGGCCAGCACGGCCAGCGCCAGCATCCAGAGCGGTCCTCCGTCGCCCTCCCGGCGACGCGATGACAGCAACTGCGTGCTGCGCCACTGCGCCCTGAGTCCTGCAGCCGGTCCGCCATGCCGCAACGACTGATTCCGAGTGTCTCTCTCGCATTCAAGGTGCGTTGGCATGCGTGCGAGAGAGACAGACTCTCGGAATCAGTCCGCAGAATGCCGGACGGATCGGCCCTTCCGTCTTCCTGGGAATGCGCAGACCGCGCGCTCCGGACGCCAACAAAAAACTCGCAATGAGTCACAGGCGTCTGGCGTCTCGTTCTTTTGCGGCGTCGCGCGAAAACTCGGCGGGGATGTACAGTAGTGCGTGGAGTGCGTGGATACTGCGCGGCGAGTGGGAATATTCCGGTCCAGCATGCGCGAGCTCCGCGAGCCGAGTGTACAGTCACGCGTACAGTCCGCGTCATCGAGGCCGAGGCGCCGGGCGAGGGAAGTCCCCGCGGTGACGGTGACGGTCCAGCTGGCCCACAGAGCTCCAGCGCCGCTCCGCTAGTGCTGCCCCGCTCCAGTGGCGCAGTGCCGCGTCGGGGCCGAGCGCTGGGCCGCTGGGCCGCTGGGCCGCGCCGGGCTGGGACGGGCTGGCCGCCAAGTCAGTGACCTCCGCGGTACAGTCCGTGTCAAAACGTGTCATAAAGCTCGCTGCGCGCTCGCCCGGCGTGAAGCCACGCGAAGCAGCGGGGCGACGCCGTTTTCACGGTCTTTGCCGAGCTTCAATTTCCACGGCGCTTGAAGCTCGAAAATGATTCCGCGTTCGGAATGGTTCCAAATTTGCATGTCCTTTTCGTGTCGAGGTTATTTTCGTTTGTCGATTCGGACGGAGTACGCCTGCGATTAGGAATCCACGGCCAATTGTGGGAAAGCCTCTCGAAGGCGGGGGATGTGTTGTCGGCTTGAGGAATGCTCTCGAAATGTGTCCCCCGGGCCTCGGCAATGTGTGCCCACTGTGTGCCCCTATGGCGGTGCACAGGGCATCCATCACACGCACACACACTCTCGCTTTCACACGGACGAGTTCACTCACCGACACACACACACCACTCACACCACACACACACACACACTGGCAGCGGGGGATTGTTTCGTCTGGTCGTCGTGTGGTGAGTTGCCGCCCGAGCTCCAGGTGGCTTATCCACTTGAAGTTTCCCCCTGCCACGCCTTGCCGCCTTTCCGCCGATCCGTCGATCCGCCCCCGTCGGTCCCACCCGGGCCTGGCCCGCCCCGTCAGGCCACGGATAGGCCCGTCCGATCCGACGTGAAATGTATCGGAACATTTTCTACCTGACCGGGCCAGCCGCGCGCCAAACAACAACTCGCCCAAACTCAATTTGCTTTGTGATTTCTCCGTGTTACTCGTCGTCGCTCGCGCGCGAGTTTTCTAATTAAATCCGTCATCGGAGTTGCGCGGGAAGTTAATCGTCGGTCGGAGTCAAAGGCGCCAGCCAGCAGGGCCTGCTCGGCCTGCTCCCGGAACCTTTCCGCCCGCGGGGCCGAATTTCTGGCCAATTTCTGGTGGATCTCGCCTCGGGATGCTCTGGAAGTGACCGGAAACAGATTGGGGTCGCCGTCGGCGTGGCGTCGGCGTGCCGTCGGCGCCACATGTAGCGCTAATTAGGCAGCGCGCCCTTCGCCTAGAACAAGAGAGGGACGCTTTCCCTGCGCGTGATAGCGGCGTGTCGCGGGGGCGATCCTCCGCGCCGCCATCGCCGCCCTTCCCTTTGAGCGGCCAATTCACAGGCCTATCGGCGGGGGTCGAACCCGAGACTGAAGACCCTGCCGGCGCCAGGGCGCCGTGCTTTTGGCCGGCCCTGCTTGCCCTGCCTGGCCCCCGATACGACTCTACACCGCGCCGCCGCACCCGCTGCAGCTCTGCTTTCCATTTTTATGAAACAAGTTGGCGACTTCCTCCGGCGGGGCCGGGATTCGATCCCGGGAGAGCGCGCGCTCATAGCCCGGCCTTGCAGTAGTCGCCGGCGCGGCCCCAGAAAACATTGTTATCTTTTTATTTGAACATTACTCCGGCCTTCCGTGGCAATTTGTGCTGCCCCCCGCGCTGCCCGGCCGTCCTGGCGTCCGGGAAGCTGCCAGGGCGCTACAGTACAGTGGGCCAGAAGACCGCTGGCGGTCAAAATCCCGGACGCGTTTTGAACTCTAAAGTCGCCAAATGGGGTTCCAACCGAACGTGTGACCCCACCAATGGATTCCTCGTTCGGAGAGCAATCCCTTGGGGGGTCACACGTTCGGTTCGAGTCCTGTTTAGCGACTCTGGAGCTCAAAACGCGTCTAGAGTATAGTGACTTCGGGGTCCTCGCGGCTTGGGGCATCGACGGTGGCGCCTCGGTGGCGCCAATCATTCAGAGACGCTGCACCTGTCTGCCAGAGGCGCCCGCCTGCAGCCCGCCTGCATCGCGTCGTTGCCAGGACGACGGCCCCCGCCGCGCGGAGATGGCGGCACACTCGGAACGGCAGTTGGACGCGGTGACGACGACGACGCCGGGGCCAAGATCAGGGGCGGGGGCTGCGGGGGTCGAGCCAAAACGCTCGTGGGAAATGGTCCGGCATTCTGTGGCCACCAACCATCCCATACCGCTGCCGGGCTACCGCCGCTCACCATCGATGTCCTTGTTTTGTGAGTCGCTTTGTGGCTTTGTGTTGGCTCGAGCTAGAGTCGCCACGACGTGGAGTGCTGGGCGGCGCGGGGCGGCGCGGGCCGCGGCCGGGTCCAGAGGACGTGCTTATGTGTGTTCTTGAGTTGCGCGCGAGCTGAGAGTACAGCCGGAGCGCGCTCGGCGTGCCGGCCATGCCGTGCTGGGGCGTGGCGGCGTCGCCCGCCCCCTCCCGCCCCTCCTCCGCGGGGCAGGGCGCTGGGAACAGCCAACAGCGCCCCAACTGCCGCCTCGGCCAGGTTGTGTCGCTCTGGATGCAAAGACGGCTCGAAAGACGGGCGCGGCGACGCGGCGACGCGGCGAGTGGCGGCCACAAATCGGTAACGGATTTGACGGTCTCGTTGTCGTGCAGATTGCGCGGGCGCGGCCGGTTGTTTATACACTCCTTTCCTGGCGCGCTGCCTCGCGGTGCTCGTCGTCTTCGTCGTCTTCGTCGTGCAAGCCGGCCCGGAATAATTTAAGGCCGGTCCGAGAGTCCGGGGCGACGGTGACGCCAGTCCGCGGAGAGGCACTGTCCTGTCTCGAGGAGTGAGTGAGGGTCGTGGGGGCGGCCTGGATGGCGGACTGGACGAGGCCTGGACGAGCCGCGACTTTGCGGGAACACGTTGACAAGTGCGACGTGACCGAACTTATACACCGTGGCTGGCGCGGCGGGCGTGGCGTGCCGGGCGTGCAGAGTGGCCCCAGTCCGGCTTCGGCGGCGAGGCACGGCGGGGCGTTCCCTTCCGAACGTGCCGAACAGAACGCCTCGCCGCAACGGCCCTGTTGTGCAAGCGGGGCGTAGCGCGGCAGCCGCGGCGACGCGGCGGCTGATCGAACCCGGCCCTGCTAGGCCCTGCTAGGCCCGGGCCCCCGTTTGAATCCGTTGACACTTTCGCCTTCGGGGCACAGCCGTCGGGAGGCGGCGGCGGCGTGGCGTCCCCCTCTTGTTTTATGACCGAAATGTGTCTTTTTCCAGCCACAGCTGCGGGCTAGGCCGCTGGGGCCGCTCAGGCCAGAAGCAGCCAGACGCGCGTGGCGTCGGCGTCGCGGAGGTTGACGCCGCGTGGGGCTTGGGGAAGGGGAGGGGGAGAAGGGGGAGTTTCGGCGGGAAAACGAGGATGGCGCGCCTTCGGCTGCTTCGGCCGCCTTTGGCTCGCCTTTCCGCGTTACGACCGAGGCCGGTTTACACCGGACGGGCCGGAGAGGGCCGCGGGGAGGGGAGGGGAGGGGAGGGGCCGCTGGACGCGGAGAGAGGGGAAGGGGAAAGGTCCTGGATGCCCGGCACGGCGGGCACGGCGGGCACGGCCTGGCAGATGGCAGGGAGTATCGCTCGCTGTGTTGCCAGGCCAGCCGGGCCAGCCGGCCAGCCGCGCCGGTACATACGTGTTCCTGAAAAAGAGTCGCCCGGCGGCCTCAAGGTCTGCGCGTCTGCGCCAAGACGCCGGACATTCTCCACCAGCCCGATTAAAAGTTGTCCTCTGAAATGGTAGCTTTGTTGCTGCTGCCGCTGGCTGCCTCTGGCTGCCGCCTCCCACGGCCGGGGCCAGGCCAGGGCGCGGGCCGATGATAGCGTCCGCCAGCGCGGCAGCGTGCCTGGGAAAGGAAGCGCAGCGGTGCAGCCCTGGCGGGACGGCAGGAGTCGTCGGACTTGTCGTGCCTCCGATCCCCTTTTCGCGACAACGCCGCGCCCCGCGCCCCGCGCCTGATCCACTCTTGTTGTGTAACCGGGTGTGACTGACTGAGGCTTGGCGCGTCGGCCCTCGATCGTCGTGTCACGACTTCCACCGCGCCGCGGCGGGCACTGCGGCCAGGCACGGCACGGCGCGGCGCGTCGCATCGGCATGCGCC